ATGCGTCATATACTCACTCTCCGACACCAACATGCTCTGGCATAGCATGTGCTCATGCCCATGTCTGCACACCTCTCGGCCACACCTCGTGCTGCACCCCCGCCCACACCTCCCCCCCGGACACCCTGTCCATCTCTCCTTTGTCCCCAAGAGCTCAGGTCCAGCTCAGCAGCCCCAGCAAAGGAGGCCTTTCCGTCTGAGCAAGGAGCGCCCCCTTCCGTTTCCTGCAGGAGCTGGTCAGAGGGAGCTTGCTGGCTGGGCTGGGCTCCTTCCAGCTCAGGTTCTAGAATGTTCCCTGTGGGGACTAACCTCAGCCTGTCTCTGGTTTCTCAGTCACAGGCCAACCTGAAACCTGGAGACCTGATTGAGATCTTCCGTGAAGGCTATGAGCACTGGGCCCTCTACGTGGGGCACGGCTATGTGGTGCACCTGACTGCCTTTGGTAAGATGGTCCCCGCCAGGCCCAGGGCGGGGTGTGTGTGTGTGTGTGTGTGAGCAGGTGCACGCTCTGCGCTGTCCGGCCCGGTGCCCGGCCTGGGGCTCTCCGTGCCCATTGGCTGCATGACGTTCCCTGTAGGTCTGGCGGCCAATCGGCTTCCTCAGCAGCGAGTTCGGGGAGGGAAGTCAGCTGGCCTGTATTCCAGGCGATTCTGGGGTTCACCTCCAGCCAACCACGGTCCCCGGGAAGCACCCCTTTCTGTGTGCTCGATGCTCTGGGGGCACATGAGTAGGACAGCGCACCGCAGGCTGCAGCGGCATGGAAGCCGCGTGGGCCTCCCACCTGGCAAACCCGTTTGGATCCTGGGGCCTCCGCTTGCCCGTGTCACTGGACCCCCTAAGTTCAGCTGCGCCCTCTGCAGAGCAGAGGAGACCATCGCCTCCCGGTCCTGCAGGGGTGGGATACAGGACACCATGGGGGGCACGGGCGGGACACGAACAGCATCTGGAGGGCACTGGGCCAGCCTCCCTCCCCTCCAGAGCATCGTGGCATTTAAGCAGCGGTTCTCAACCTTCCGGCCGCCGCGGCCCTTTGACACAGCTCCTCATGTGGTGGTGACCCCCAACCATAAAGCTATTTTTGTCGCTGCTTCATAACTGTGATTTTGCTGCTGTTAATGAACCGTAATATAAATATCTGACATGCAGGATGTCTTAGGCGACCCCTGTGAAAGGGACGTTCGACCCCCAAAGGGATTGCGAACCATAGGTTGAGAACCGCTCATTAAAACAAATGCCGAAAGCTTGGGAACCACGCAGCTGGGAACAGGCCAAATAAAATCGATGCCTGCATTTCATGGCAGACCATGTACCTGTTACAACAGCTGTACATCAGCTGTGTGCCTACACCTGTGAATTTTAAAACCAAACGCAGGCTTTAAAACATTAGGCTTATTAAGGAATAACTTACTGTTTTACTTTTTTGTAATCCTCATCTGAGGATATTTTTTCATTGATTTTTAGAGAAGGGAGAAAGAGAGAGAGAAAGAGAGGTCAATCTTATATAATAATGAGGTGATATGCAAATTAACTCCCACACCATCACAAGATGGCTGCACGCACAGCAGAGGTGGGGTTCCTATAACACAAGATGGCAGTGCCCACAGCAGAGGCGGTGTTCCTGTAACGAGTGATCACCAGGGAGCTGAGGCTGTGTGGCACTGGGCTGGGGTGCGGGACCTGAGGCGGTGCTCCCCACCGGCATGGCTTGACAGGGAACCTCAAGATGCAACCCCTGCCTTAGCACCAGGTCGGGGAACCTCAGGCCATGTCCCCTGCCCCGGCGCCAGGCCAGGGGACCTGAATCTGCGCCAGGGACCTGAGTCTACAACCCCCCACTCAGCATGTGCCAGGGGACCTGAGGCTGCACCCCCTGCCCAGCTTGTGCTTGGGGACCTGAGGCTGTACCCTCTGCCCAGTGGAGTTTGATGGGGCCTGAGACTGCAACCCCTACCTGGCAGGGCTTGACGAGGGACCTAAGGCTGTGCCTCCCGCCTGGTGGGACTTGACGGGGGTGGGGCCAGCTGGGTCTGGAACTCACCCAATGGGGGTGGGGCTGGCCGAGTCGGGTCCCACACAATTTCGGGGCACATGCAGGTGGGCAGGACTTGAATCTGGGTCCCATGGAGTTGCCCAGACTCTGACAGGAGGAAGATTTTCATATACATGTTACTAATTTTCTTTCATCTCTGACACTTCTATTATAGAGAAAGGGCACATAGCAATATTAAAATATATCCTCTAATTAATTCCCTTTTAATGTGCACGAATTTTGTGAGATATTTCTTTCTCTCACCCTCTCTGTGTAGAGGACGATGCTTACCTGAGCCACACTGGCTTGGGTAAAATGCCCTTTTAAAAAGAAAATAAGAACTGGTGAACTAAAGTGTACACACACACACACACACACACACACACACACACACTCACACACACACTCACACACAGCCAGTGAATGTAACTGGTCAGAGATTGACGTTATACCAACAGGCTTTCTGTGAGCCCAGCTCCATCCAGCAAGTCCACTGGCCCCTCCCTGAGGTCCCAGGGCCCATCACTGCCTTCTCGCTTCAGCTTTCCCTGAAGCCTGAGTGAGGCGGGAGGCCGGTGTCCTGTCAGGGGCAAACCCGAGAATTGAGAGCTGGGAGAGGGTGCCACCTCCTGACCCAGACCCTTCAGGCTGTGAGTGATGAGCCCTGAGGAGAGAAGGGACTTGCCTGAGGCCACACGGTGGGGGTGGGGGGTGGCTCTGGGTGAGCAGGTCAGGCCTGGGCTTGCTCACAGCTTCCTTTCCTGCTAGTGACAACACGTCCCCTGGCTGCGGAGGCCCCCTCCCGCTCTGCGGGCCAGCGCCTGCTGTCTGCCCTGCTCCGCTCTGCCCCTCCTGCATCTTCCAGGCCCATCTGCGCTCACACGGGCCTTTAGCAGAACCCACGTCCTTTGTGTTAGAAACGAGGCAGCCAGAGTCAGGGGCATCTGTGACTGCTCCAAGGCCACCGGCGTGGGTCGGCCTGTTTGAAGCCAGGCAGGGGGCCGGCCTTCCCACAGCTGGTCCTCAGGATGATGCCCAGGCAGTGGGGCTGCCTGCTGGCCCGCCCTCAGCCCCGACCATCGCCCTCCTTCCCTCCGGGGACCACAGGTGACAATTCAGAAGTTCCGTCGGCCAACCTCAAGGCCTCTGGGACCGGGTGTGCCTTAGTGAAGAAGGAGCTGCTGTCCGAGGTGGCCGGGACAGACAAGTACCGTGTCAACAACAAGCACGACGGGAAGTACGCCCCGCTGCCGCCCAGAGAGATTGTGCAGCGGGCGGAGGCGCTGGTGGGGCAGGAGATGCTCTACAAGCTGACCAGCGCCAACTGCGAGCACTTCGTGAACAAGCTGCGCTACGGGGTCCCCCTCTGCGACCAGGTGCGTCCTCAGCCTGCGTCCCTGCCCCGTGACAGGGGCTGGGCATCCGGTGGGCCAGGCCAGGGTGGAGGGGCGGAGGCACGAACGAGACAAAACAGCAGGGACAGAACCCCTGCCCGCGAGGGAGTGACAGTCGGGGTAGGGAGGAGGGTGGGGAGATGTGCCAGTCGCTGTGCAGACCAGTGAGGTCAGGGCTGATGTCCCATAGCTTCAGGAGAGGGTTGTTTTGTCCCCACTTTACAGATGGGAAAACTGAGGCTCCCGCTGCACAATCTCTCTGGGCGGCAGCGGGGCGTACTGCCCGTCGTGCTTGTTGTTGACACGGTACTTGTCTCTCCCGGCCACTCTGAACTTGCTCCGGCTCCCAGGGGCCAGCCCTAACCTAGAGCGTCCGGCACGGCCTGTGTCCTTCCCCGGCCAGCCCTGTGGCTTCCTGAGCCTCTCAGTACCCACAGGGCCGCTGTCCTCTCACCCCCACGGCTCTTTCCACTCGGTCTTTCCCGCCTCCCCTCTGCTCTCCTGGCTGCCTGCTGCCCTGCAAGCACCGGCTCCTCTGTGGTTCCCTGGAGGGGCCCACTCTCTCCTGAGTGAAGATTCTTGGTGGGTGTGTCCGTGTCCAGGCCCTGACGAGAAGGGTGACGCCTGTTGTCTTGTGTTTGCAGGTCGCTAAAGGGTACAAGGCAAGCTTCATATGGATACTCGGCGGGATTTGCAGCATAGCAGTAGCCCCGGCACTTGAAGTATCTATTTTGGGGGTAGCAGCTGCCTACGGGGTAAGCACATTCGTCACAGACGCTGCTTGGCAACTGTGGAAGAAACGCTAGCAAGAAAGGCAGTGAGATCAAGGCTTCATCGCAGCGACAGCCACAGAGTCCGGAGAGGAAGTGCTTAGCCAGCAAGCAGGGGGTGGGTTTGGGGGTTGGTTTATTGATTTCACTATTTTATACTCAATTAGGCTAATAAAAAAATGTTTTATTGACTTATTTATTTATTTTTACAAATGGAGGAAGGGGCAGAGGATAGAGAGAAACATCAATGGGAGAAATTCATCAGTGGCAGCCTCCTGCAGGCTTCCTACTGGGGAATGCCCCCTGGAAATTGACCAGAGACCCCTTGGTTCATGGATGAACACTGAAGACACACCAGACATTGAGGCTGGTTTCCATGGAGCTATAAAAGCACAGGAAAAATTTTTGGTGGGAGGAGAGGCGGGGGGGAAATAGGTCCTACTGTCACTGCTATTAAAGACACAGTTGTCTCTGTCATGGACTCAGTGCTTGTGTCCCCGTGCCTACCCCATCCACGTTGAAGCCCTAACCCCCAATGTGATGGCATTTGGAGCTGGGCCTCTGGGAGGGCATGAGGTTCAGAGGTCATGAGGTGGTGGCGAGGGTGCGGGGTTGGCATGACGGGTCCGTGCCCTTTCAATCAGACCAGAGCTCTCTCTCCCATGTGAGGACATAGCGAGAAGGTGGCCATTTCAAGGCAGGAAGAGGGTTCCTCCAGGACCTGCCCCTGCCAGCACCTTCGCCATGAACTTGTCAGCTTCCAGGTTGTGAGAAATAAGTGTCTGTGCTGAAGCCCCAGCCAGTGGCATGTTGCCATGGCAGCTGGAGCTCATGAACCGGGCTCTTCCCCAGCTGCCCGAGGGCATCCTGGCATTCTCTGCTTTCCTCGGGGCTCCTCCTGGAGGGCACACCTGTGAGGGCAGAGCAGGACCCATGGCCGCCAGGGCCAGGCTCAGCAGCGGGATCTGTGCTGAGGATGCTGAGCCAGAAATGGGACTCCCCGCAGCTGCCGAGGCGCCCTTCCTGCTGCTGCTCTCCACGCCTCTGGGCTCCGGAATAATTAGAATCCTGTTCTACCCATCGAGCTGGTCCCTGACACCTCCCTTCACAGCTTTCCCTTCTGCATCAGCTCAGCAGCATCTCCCCTCACTCAAGGTTGCACCTCCTAGTGTCCCCAAGAGAGAATCTGATTGGCTCAGCCCACCGTCCCAGCTCAGCCTCCTGATTGGCTGCTGTGGGGTCAGGTGAGCACACTGAGCCAATCAGTTCTGAGGGATGAGGCCGGTCCCATGGTTTGAACCTGACCCTGGAGGCAGAGGCAGTTTCCCTTGGTGGGGACTGTGGGTGACCCCAACTGCAGGGACTGGCACCCCTGGTCCAGGCCACCCAGGGGAGGAGGCAGAGCTGACACCACCCTTGGGTCCCTCCAGAGCCGCTGGGAGCCTGGGTCTGGTTCCAGGTGAGATTCCCTGCCTAGAATTAGAGCCCGGAGCTCACATCTCCCACAAGACCAGAGTCCCCGGATCCTCTCTCCCACTGCTCTTGGGGGAGCTCTGGACAAGAGGCCAGAAGCCGCCTCCGTCTCTCACCCGCTGGTTATGGGGCTCACAGCCAGCTGTGCCCTCTGACCCAGAGGTAGGCTGGGAGCAAGGCCAGCAGGGCTCCTTCCGGAACCCCCGCCTGGAGGCTGACCTTTCCCCCTGGGCATCTGAGCAGGGCGCTCTGTGGCAGCAAGTGCAGGTCATTCTCTTTGTTCTTCCGCCTTCTGAAGCCCGAGCTTCGTCCCAGCCTGGTGTCTGGGCACCGAGGGGATCAGAACCCTCCACCCCACTTTCTCCTGCAGGGAATGTACTGTCAGGAGAGGGGACGCTCCCAGGACTCCAGTGAGGATGTCAGGCCTGTGGCAGAGGCCAGGCGAGGAAGTAGAGGGCAGGGGTCCCTGCCCCCTTTGAGACCACACCCAGGGCGCGCTAGGTACTAGCAGAGGGATGCTCTGAGGAGGGTAAGTTTCATAAAAGACTTCATTTTATTCTTAGAGAAATTTCAGGTTTAGAGAGAAATTGAGAGGATGGTGCAGAGATTTCCCATGGGCCCCTGCCCTTCACTCTCGCAGAGCCTCCCCCATTACTGGCCCCCCTGACCCCAGCGGGTGTTTTTGGTGTCACTGAAGACCCTCCATCGGCACAACACAACACCCCACGGGCCTTATGCAGCCCCGGCTCTGGGTGTGGCGCCGTCTGTGAATCTGGACACATGATAACGACAGGCCTCCCTCAGCACAGAGTCACACAGCGTTTCACTGCCCCCAATGTGGAGGCCACTCGTCTCAATCTTCCACCCGGGCAGCTTGAGCCGTGGCGAGGGGGGCGCGGGGAGATGGTCAAGCCCACGCGGGCGTCACAGATGGGTGAGGACTTGACCTTTGAGTTAAAGAAGAAAAACAAGCCCGGTGGCTCAGCGGCTGAGTCCCCACCAGCAGGTCACAGTTGGGTTCCCGATGGGCACACGTGCCCCGGTCGCGGCTCATTCCTGGTGTGGGACGTGAGGAGGCAGCTGATCGATGCTCCTCTGTCATCACTGATGTTTCCCTCTCTCCTTCTCCCTTCCTCTCTGAAGAACAAAGTGTGAAAGAAAAACAAAACGTCTAAAAGGAGGGCTGACTGGAGGAGGCAGGAGGGACGGGAGAGAAGCTGGAGGTGTTGATGCCTCATCAGGGGATTCAGGGCCAGAGGTGGGCCTGCAGGGGAGGGACCTGTGTTTGGTTTCGCACCATGAGAGGGAGGGTCCATAGGTTCAGGTGTGAGTTCTTGAGTCTTGGCACAGTCAGTCCATCCTCCAGCCAGGGAGGGAGGGAGGCCAGTGAGAGACAGGACGACAGGTTGTCTGAGAGCTCAGGTCAGGGGCAAAGGATGATGGGAGGTCATTTCTACAGCGGCTTCTAACTCGGGGTTTTGTGCCCCTCAGGCTGTCACTGGTGCCGGGATAACATGTGCATGAAAATGTAGGCAGCCACAGTCAAGGCTCCGAACATAACTACTGTGATTATGGATTTTTCTGCCTGAAAAAGAGCAGCCCAGGCTCACCATCCACAGCAAGTCCAAGCAGGTCCTCCCTCCGCCAAAGGGGCTGGAGGCCACACCCTGCTCCCGCCCTCCCCGGGGGCCTGGCCCCTCAGAGATGCTGGCCTTGTCCCCACATCCCTTCCCTGGGGAGCTGGAAGTGTGTCCGCTAGTTAGTGCTGAGCTGGTCAGGCTGTGTCCTGACAACCGGCAGATGGATGGATGGAATCCTTGTGTGTGAGCCTCCTGGGTGGGGTCACTTGGTCCTGATGGGGGTGAACAGGGGAGGGGGCTTCCTGCCTGGGCTCCTGGGGCCAGAGCTCTGGGGTGAAAGTGGGAATGGCTCTGTGGTCGGGGCTCCAGCTCTGCAGAGGGAGGTGGTGGCAGAGCTGAGGGGGACAATGGGAAACCATGGCCTCAGGGATCACTGTGCTCGGTGTACTGTTCCCAGGTGCAGCCTGGAAACTTCTATGTCCACCCCCACCTCAGCCCTGAACTCCAGACTCACATATCCAACTGCTACTCAACAGGTCCATCTGGATGTCTAACTATTCACCTCAACATCCCCCATGAGCATCAAATCCTTAATTTCCTTCCCAAACCTGCTCCTCCTCCCCTCATTCTCCTCTATCCAGGCTGCCCATCACCCAGTCACAGGGGCTGTGAGCCCTGAAGGTGCTGTGGTTCAGCAGAAAGAGCAGGGACCGCTGGGCATTGAATCCTGCTTCTGCCTCCTAACTTGCTGTGTGTTGGTAAGAGGGAAAGAGGAGAGGGGTAAGGCTGTGCCCAGACCTTACACAACATGTTCTGGAGCTCTCACATAGGCCACAGACCTGAGCATCTCTTGCTGAGGGCTCTCTGGGGCCTTAGGACACCTGTCATGGTGCAGGGCTGGCCCAGACTTTCCCTGACAGCACTCAGGGCATCAGGAGCTGCCTTTAGGGCGGGTCTTAGAGACAAAGGATCCTAAAGGGACAGAGGAGCCCAGAGCCCCAGGGCCTCCAATATCCCCTCCTTCTGCACATGGGGAAACTGAGGCCAGAGAGGAAGTGCTCTGTCCAAAGACCCTGAGTGGATTAAAACAGATGTGAGATTTGTTCTCAAACATCCTGACTTCCAGCCAACAAGAACCTGAGAGCTCCCTTTAGATTTATTCAGGGTCATTCTTGTTGCCCCCACTCCAAGCAGAGCTCCAGAGGGAGAGGGAGCCCCCAGAGAGGGCCTTACCTGCCGGCTGCGGGCCTTGCCGTATCTCAGGTCCGTGACAAAGTGCTCACAGTTTCTGTCCAGAACATCATACGCCAACTGCTTGCCAACCATCTTCTCCGCAGACCTGATGATCTTGTTCACCGGCAGCGGTGTGTACTCCTGGTCCAAGTGGTTGTTGACCTGATAGGGGCAGTCCCCCACTACATCCTTCAGGCGCTGCTTTTTCACCATCCCTCTGCTGCTCAGGACGGAGAGGACGCTGGGGGAGCCAGCCCCAGAGAACCCATCTGGAATCAGACACGTGAGTATCAGCACCTGCCGGGAGGCCAGGGAGGGAGAGAGGACACAAGGCAGGGAGGAAGGGTCAGGGAATCACACTGTTGAGCTCTGGTGTCTGTCCCTTCACCAATGGGATTAGAGGATTCCATCATTTTGCTCTTTCCCTTAAGGAGCTGTGAGTACTTTTCATGTCAATCAATGTTGTGATGGTCAGTGGCTGCCACTGTGTTCCATTATATGAATGGACACCATCTAGTTGACCACGTCCCTATTATTGGCTGGTCCAGAGTTTATTCATTGTAAACAGCGATAGTAAATTGTATTTGTTCATCTTTGCACGTGTGTGTTTCAGAGAGAGCTCACAGTTGTTCTGGTCCCACTGGGTTTCAGACTCTGCTGTGCAAGTTTCTCACATTCCCTCATTATTCTCCTTTTGAACTTCATGGTAAAACTCTCATGCTCATTTCATAACCGATAGTGGACCTGAGGCATCATTGGCCTTTTCTGGCCCAGCTCTGGCCACATGGGGAGGCCACACAGCGCTTCCAGCTGGTGGCCTCCAGCCATTTAGCTTGGAGCCGGGTTTGGCTCTCTAAGAGGAGGGAACTGAGGAGCACGCTAACCAGCAGGCCCCTTGTGTGTGAGGCTCCAGGCTGATGCTGCACTTAGCACTGCTCTTGAGGAAGCACGACCTGCTCGCTCCCACACAAGCAGGACCCGCTCCTCACACTCACCTCCTTGTTCCAAGCCTGAGTGTCGTCTGGATTAGGGGGTTTCCCATACTATTTGCATCAATGCTGACAGTTTTCAACGCTGTCAGTGTACGTGACAGCGCATAGGAACCTGGTCAGTTACAAGGAGATTCTTGTGATCATGAGATGGTTTCTGTCCAGCGAGAACGCAAACGCTTGCTGTCTGAGGTGTGGGTGCCATTGCTCTGCAGGGCACCAGCCCCTGTGCTTCCCAGTCCACGGTCTCATCCCAGCACCTTCCTGTCATGGACGGTGCTGCCTTCTCCTCTGACTGCCTGTCATCCTGCTTCTGCTCTCCCTGTGCTACATCAGGGTCCAGGTGCTCGTGTGCGTGTGTGTGAGACTGTGACATGTAACCTGGGAGAGCTGCTGCGTGGGGGCTGTTCAGGAAACCCTCTCAGGACGCCCTGTTCTGTGACGTCCTCTGAGCACAGGACACAGCCTGAGAGGCAGTCCCTCCATGAGACCGGGACACACAGACACGCTGCAGGTTTAGAGATCTGTCTGCTCGCCCAGCTACCGGCCCAAGCTGGAGAGTGTCCAATGCGGGTGCAGCCTGGCTTCTCTGGGCCCACACACCTCTGTGCTTGTGAGTCAGGACCCGAGGGACCACTGAGATGCCTCCAAGAAACACGGGTGTACAGGGAGCACACACACTGCCCAGGGAGAACCGACACTGGTTCCCAGGTGGCATTTGGCTTTGAATTGTTCTCTTTAGGCCCATGGTCGGCAAACTGTTGCTTGTGAGCCACATGAGGCTCTTTGCCCCCTGAGTGTGGCTCTTGCACAGAATACCATGAGTCTATTTCGAAGAGATTTTAGAAGAAGTTTAAAAATTTTGGCTCTCAAAAGAAATGTCAATCGTTGTGCTGCTGATACTTGGCTCTGTTGACTAATGAGTGTGCCTGCCACTGCCTTAGGCTAAGAAACCTTCGGTAAATCCTACTTTGAACGCCCTTACCTGGGGGAGCCAGGTGGATCACACAGCCATCGCCCACATAGAGGGCCCAGTGCTGGTAGCCAATTCGGAAAATCTCAATCAGGTCCCCAGGCTTGGGCTCTTCACGGACCTGCAGGAGAACAGCCAGGAGGTGAGACAGTTCAGGGAGCCGCAGAGGGCGCTGGGAGCGGCTGCCAGGCAGGCAGTCCTCGCGGATGCTCATGGCCTGGTGAGTGTGTGGAGGGGACTCTGGCCCTGTGAGGCCCTCAGCCCCTGGCGCTTTCGGAGGGTGCCCTTGGGGAACTGGCTGCCTTGAGGGAGGCAAGCCTGGAAACAGGACCCTGCGATTTGGGAGAGTGAGGAATTGTCCAAAGAGAGAGTGTGTAATGCACGGGTGCCTGTGTGTTTGTGCATGCACACAGATGAGGATGCCGCCGAGCATATGTGAGTGTGTTGTGCACGTGTCCGGAGGGCGATGGCACGATTGCTGTGTGCAAAGCCCCTTCCCGGAGGTTGGGACCAGGCCCATCCCAGCCACGTGGGCAGGTGAGCCTGAGCTTCTGCCTCACTCGCTGCCCTCAGGTGTGCACATGCCTCTGGCCCTGGCTGTGCATGGCCCCAAGGCTCCTCCTCACCCTCTGCCCCTCCAGCCCTGGGCACCGGCCCTGGGAGATGCCCACCTCGGGGACAGGACTGAGAGCCCAGGAAGGGGACTGAGCTCTGCGGAGGCCCTAGTGTGGCTGCCCAGCTTCCGGAGCTGGGTGGGGAGGGGCCAGAAGGGGCTCACACACTCAGGCAGCAGGCTCTGCTGGCACTTTCCCCTCCATAACTCCCCCTCCCACAGCCCAGGGGAGGAAGCAGCACCCCTTGCTCAGCTGGGGAAACTGAGGATCAGAGAAGGAGAGTGCCCGGGGACACTCAGCTGGCAGTGGCCGCACTGGGTCTTCTCTGTCCTGTCTCTTCCTGTCCCTTTCCTCCCTCCCATCCTGCCTTGCTCTCCTCCTCTCTCTCCTCAGTGCCCTGTCCAGGACACCACAGCTTCATGATTAGATAATTTTCCAGCTTTTCTTTGTCTCTGTGTCGGACCTCAAAGAATGAGAAACTTCCTGCAGCCCTCACCCCAGGCGGCCCCCCCTGAGGCCAGGGCTCAGCCTTTCTTTGCCCCATTGCATGCCGGTACCCAACAGCCCACACTGACCCCGGTCACTTCTCCGGATTCCCCTCCTCATCCATCTCCCGCCCAGGACTCAGTTCAGGGTCCTTGGGCCCTATGTTGTGACCCCACAGTTTCCTGACAAGGTTCCCTGCCTCCTGTCCCTTCACTTCCACATCCAGTCCCCCAAGATCCCCGGTGTCCTTCCCTAATGCCCCATCTGTCCATGATCCTCCGATGGCTTCAGGGCATTCGCCTGCCCCTGGGCAGCCACAGCCCCTTCTGGCCGTTCCCTTCCTTCTGGCCCCCCTTTTTAAGCCCCCGGAGCTGGCTGAAGGCCTTGCCTTTCCCTCCACAGCTCCCTCTGGCCTCTGCTCCTCTGCACCCCCTTCTCTCTGCCCCAGTCCCTGCCCTACGCCCATTCCTCCTCTCCTCCTCCCAGACAGACACCTCCTCTGAGGAGCTGCCCTGAAGGCCCAGCCCGGCTCAGCTGCCACCCTCAGGGTCCCCGCCCCCCGGGGACGCCAGCTCTCCCCACGTGATCCTGCTCTGCTGGAGTCCCTGTGCCTGTCCCACCCCCTCTGGGCTTTGAGCTCCATCAGGGGGTCCTGTGTGCTCAGCCCTCCCTCCCTCACCTCCTGGTCCTGAGAGGGGCCTGGTTTGGAACAGGAGGGAAGGACCTGCGGGAGCAGGAGGGCTGGAGGGCCCGGGGCCAGAGCTCAGGCCAGGCAGGCCCAGAGCTGCTGTCCATCTGGGGGAACAAGGGCATTGCTCACTCTGAAGCAAAATGGTGACTTAAGGGGAGGCCGGGCCCTGTCCCGGGAGCAGGGCAGTGAGCTGGGCCTGGTCTAGGGGAGGCAGCGGTTCCCAGGAGCAGCGAAGCCGGGGACTGAGCTCTGGAATGTGCAGGGGCCTTCCCGGAATGGCCCTGATTCCCAGAAAGCCGGGCCCAGCTGGCTGCTTTTCTGCTGCACGCCTCGTGCTCGGCCGGCCCCTCTGGTTTCCCCTTTGAGTCTGAAGTCCAGGGCAGTTGGGGGTGGGGGAGCAGACCTCCTCTGACACTGAGAATAGAATGCAAGGCCTGGGAGGAAGGGGGAGCGAGAGCAGAGGGCTGAGGAGGCCTGAACTCCCGCAGCAGCTGAGGCCCACGGCTAAATGTCCCACAAGGCACAGCCCCCACAGCTAACATTGATCTGGATCAAGACGTCCTTGGTGCCCAGGCAGAGAGTCTCCATCCTAAGCCATCATTACAAACACAGAGGAGGAGGCAAAGTTAGTGAGTCCATAACGGGTGAAACAACAAATACTAGATTAAGATAAAAAGCAGAAATAAGGGTCCGGGCAGGGGTCCATGTGGGTGCAGGGCAGCACAGGGTCGCCCTGTCGGAGGTGCAGCAGCTTGGGGTGCGGGAGGCTGTGGACACCATGGGGAAGAGTCTGGAGAGAGAGAGACTGTCCGGAAGATGCAGGGCCTCGTGTTCTGGTGCAGCGCCAGCGGTTGTGAGGACAGCCTGGCGTCCACGCAGCAGGTGCCGCCGTGCAGTGAGCGCTGCCACTGCTGGCCCGAGCCCAGAACCTGGTTACCAGCCCGGCCCGGTGCACCATGCATTACAACGACAAAGCCAAAGGCTCCATGGATGCGGGGAGGAAAGAGAGTCAGGTGAAGCGGCAGCTGGCGAGTGGTGTGACCAAGAGTGTGGATGACCATATGAACCTCATTCTCATCATGGCCGAGAAGAGGAAGGAGTCTCTCACATCCATTCAGAAATACAAGTCTTTGCCATTGGCCATGGAGGCTGAGGGCAGGAATCTATTTAAAATGAAGAAACCAGTTTGGCTTAGTGGATGGAGCGTCGGCCTGCGGACTCAAGGGTCCCAGGTTCGATTCCTGTCAAGGGCGTGTACCTTGGTTGTGAGCACATCCCCTGGGGGGAGGTGTGTAGGTGCCAGCAGACCAATGTTTCAGACTCTCTATCGCTCTCCCTTCCTCTCTGTAAAAAAAATAAATAAAATAAAATAAATATATATTTTAAAATACATTTTATTGATTTTACACAGAGAGGAATTGAGAGGGATAGAGAGTTAGAAATGTCGATGAGAGAGAAACATCGACCAGTTGCCTCTTGCACACCCCTTTCCGGGGATGTGCCCGCAACCAAGGTACATGCCCTTGACCGGAATTGAAACCGGGACAGTTTAGTCCACAGTCCGACACTCAATCCACCGAACCAAACCGGTTTTGACGAAATATATATATTAAAAAAAAAAAAGTATTATGAAGTATTGGATTTGGGAAAAAACGGGTTTTCAGGAGTCCAGTGTTGTTTACTTCACCCCTCCAATAGCAGCACCCTAAGGAGACAATCTTTTGGCAAAAGGAAGGTCCAGGGAGGAAAAAGGGAGGCAGCCCCCCATCACCAAACACGGCTTCTGCCGGGCCCGTGGCAGCACACAGTGCTCCCAGCCCAGCTCTGGAACCTTCTGTTTCAACAGGGAGCTTGTCTTTCTACCGACTTCTTACTTGAAAGGACAAAGAGCTTGTCTGCTTGCTGTTTCAAGACTGTGGTGAGGGGGGAAAGCCTGGGCCCTGGTGCCTGGGGAGCTGCGAGCTGAGCCTCCTGCTCCGGGGACAGCGGGCGGCCAGGCTGGGGCAGCTGCTTTCAGGGAAGTTCCCTTCTCCCACCCACATGCACCCCATGCCAATGAGCCCTGGGATCCCCGGGGTCCAGGCACACACCTGCTGAGGCCTTCCCGTGGGGTCCCGCCCTGAAGGCTGCCCGGGGCTCCTGTCCTTCATGGGGTGGGTATCAGGTGAGGGCCCACGAAGGCCTGGGGCTCACAGCGGGGCCTCTCATGGTCCCGTCCTGCAGTGGGAGCACATGGCCAGAGCAGGGCAAGTGTAAGGCTTCCCTCCGATTCCGACCGCTTCCTGGCGGCTTCCAGGCCCAGACATTCCAGGCCCTGAGGGCGGAAATCATGGCTGTCCACGTAGACAAATGCTGACATTCAGTGTTCAGTCCTTATGAAAAAAAGAAAAGAAAGTGAAAGAGAAAGTTTCCATTTGGGTATAAAACCAGCTGCACTAGGAACGGAAAGCCAGACCCACGCTGGCTGACAATGGCTTCGGTAAGTCCTCAGAACCTTCTAGAACCAGCTCTACAGGGGAGGGCAGCTCCCTGTTATAATGCAGGCCCGGGGCTGGGTTCCTGCTGGTAAGTCCAGCGCTGTCTCTGAGGCTGCCATGGAGACCTGAGTGCTGTTTCAGTCTCTCTGGCTGCGGGACCGGGAGGTCATCGGGCAGAGGGAGCCCCCGCTCTGGGTCTGGCACTGTATGGGGTTGGGGCCAGTGGGAGGATGTGTGGTGTCTGGTCTGTGCCCCCTGAGCTGGGGAAGGAGCTGGAGTGTGGGCTGATGGGCACCCGGGGCTTGGGGAGCAGTGGATCCCGGGCTGGGGGCTCAGCTGCTGCTGGGGTTCGGTGCCTCCTCAGCCCCTCTGTTCTCTCCCCGCCCTCCCTTCCTCCAGGCCTGTGTCTGCCTGATGGGGTGCATTTGGTTCTCAGCGTCCAACAAGGACAGCTGCCCGCAATAGCCCCCGAGTTCAGACTCATACCTATTCCTGCTGGGAACTCCAGCGCCATCTCTGAGGCTGCACAGAGACCTGTATGTTAAGTGTCTTTTGCTGCGGGACTGGAAGGTCATCCGGGAGGGGCTGCCCAGCGCAAGGTGTGTGTGTAGCAGAAAAGCAGCCAGCTGGGCCCGGCTTTCTGGGAATCAGGGCCATTCCGGGAAGGCCCCTGCACATTCCAGAGCTCAGTCCCCCGGCTTCACTGCTCCTGGGAACTGCTGCCTCTCCCAGACCAGGCCCAGCTCACTGCCCTGCTCCCGGGACAGGGCCCGGCCTCCCCTTAAGTCACCATTTCGCTTCAGATTGAGAAATGTCCTTGTTCCCCCAGATGGACAGCAGCTCTGGGCCTGCCTGGCCTGAGCCCTGGCCCCGGGCCCTCCAGCCCTGCTGCTCCCGCAGGTCCTTCCCTCCTGTTCCAAACCAGGCCCCTCTCAGGACCAGGAGGTGAGGGAGGGAGGGCTGAGCACACAGGAAGCCCTGATGGAGCTCAAAGCCCAGAGGGGGTGGGACAGGCACAGGGACTCCAGCAGAGCAGGATCACGTGGGGAGAGGTGGCGTCCCCGGGGGTTGGGGACCCTGAGGGTGGCAGCTGAGTCAGGCTGGGCCTTCAGGGAGCTCCTCAGAGGAGATGTCTGTCTGGGGGAGGAGAGGAGGAGTGGGCGTGGGGCAGAGAGAAGGGGGTTCAGAGGAGCAGAAAGGGGGTTCAGAGGCCAGAGGGAGCTGTGGGAGTGAAAGGCAAGGCCTTCATCAGCCTGGGGGGCCAAGGTCAGGGTGGCCAGGAGGAAGGGAAGGGTCAGGAGGGGCTGTGGCTGCCCAGGGGCAGGCCTGTGTGCCTTGAAGCCAGACGAGGGTCATGGACAGATGGGGCATTTGGGAAGGACACCGGGGGTCCTGGGGGACCGGCTGTGGAGGTGAAGGCACAGGGAACCTTGTCAGGAAACTGTGGGGTCACAACATAGGGCCCTGGGGAACCGAGTCCTGTGCTGGAGATGGAGGAGGAGGGGAATCGGGAGAAGTGACCGGGGTCAGCGTGGGCTGCTGGATTCTGGCCTGCAATGGGGCAAAGGGAGGCTGAGCCCTGGCCTCAGGTGGAGCTGTCTGGGGTGAGGGCTGAAGAAGGTTGCTCATTCGCTGAGGTCAGACACAGAGACAAAGAAAAGCTGGAAAATTCTCTCATCATGAAGCTGTGGTGCCCTGGGCGGGACACTGAGGAGAGGGATGAGGTGAGCAAGGCAGAGAGGGAGGGAGGCGAGGGACAGGAGGAGACAGGACAGAAAAGACCCAGCGCAGCCACTGCCGGCTGAGTGTCCCCAGGCAAGTCCCTCTCCCTCTCTGATCCTCAGTTTCCCCAGCTGAGCAAGGGGTGTTGCTCCCTCCCCTGGCTGAGGGAGGGGGAGTTATGGAGGGGAAAGTGCCAGCAGAGCCTGCTGCCTGAGTGTGTGAGCCCCTTCTGGCCCCTCCCCACCCAGCTCCGGAAGCTGGGCAGCCACACTAGGGCCTCCGCAGAGCTCAGTCCCCTTCCTGGGCTCTCAGTCCTGTCCCCGAGGTGGGCATCTCCCAGGGCCGGTGCCCAGGGCTGGAGAGGCAGAGGGTGAGGAGGAGCCTTGGGGCCATGCACAGCCAGGGCCAGAGGCGTGTGCACACCTGCGGGCAGCATGTGAGGCTGAAGTTCAGGCTCACCTGCCCACGTGGCTGGGATGAGCCTGGTCCCAACCTCCGGGAAGGGGCTTTGCACACGGCAATCGTGCCATCGCCCTCCGGACACGTGCACAACACACTCACATATGCTCGGCGGCATCCTCATCTGTGTGCATGTACATGCACCACATATAACATACATGTGCACAAAACACACAGGCACCCGTGCCTTACACACTCTCTCTTTGGACAATTCCTCACTCTCCCAAAGCGCAGGGTCCTGTTTCCAGGCTTGCCTCCCTCGGGGCAGCCAGTTCCCCAAGGGTACCCTCCGAAAGCGCCAGGGGCTGAGGGCCTCACGGAGCCAGAGTCCCCTCCACACGCTCACCAGGCCATGAGCATCCGCGAGGAGTGCCCGGCAGCCACTCCCAGCGCCCTCTACGGCTCCCTGAACTGTCTCACCTCCTGGCTGTTCTCCTGCAGGTCCGTGAAGAGCCCAAGCCTGGGGACCTGATTGAGATTTTCCGAACTGGCTACCAGCACTGGGCCCTCTATGTGGGCGATGGCTGTGTGATCCACCTGGCTCCCCCAGGTAAGGGCGTTCAAAGTAGGATTTACCGAAGGTTTCTTAGCCTAAGGCAGTGGTGGGCACACTCATTAGTCAACAGAGCCAAATATCAGCAGCACAACGATTGAAATTTCTTTTGAGAGCCAAAATTTTTAAACTTCTTCTAAAATCTCTTCAAAATAGACTCATGGTATTCTGTGCAAGAGCCACACTCAGGGGGCAAAGAGCCGCGTGTGGCTCTCAAGCCGCAGTTTGCTGACCATGGGCCTAAAGAGAACAATTCAAAGCCAAATGCCACCCTGGGGACCAGAGTCGGTTCTCCCTGGGCAGGGCGTGTGCTCCCTGTACATCCATGTTCCTTGGAGGCATCTCAGTGGTCCCTCGGGTCCTGACTCACAGGCACAGAGGTCCGTGGGTCCCAGGGAAGCCCAGTTGCACCCACATTGGACACTGTCCAGCTCAGGCCATTAGCTGGGCGAGCAGACAGATCTCTTTAAACCTGCAGCATGTCTGGGTGTCCCGGTCATGGAGGGACTGCCTCTCAGGCTGTGTCCTGTGCTCAGAGGACGTCACAGAACAGGGCGTCCTGAGAGGGTTTCCTGAACACCCCCCACGCAGCAGCTCTCCCAGGTCACACGTCACAGAGAGTCTCACACACACGAGCACCTGGACCCTGATGTAGCACAGGGAGAGCAGAAGCAGGATGACAGGCAGTCAGAGGAGAAGGCAGGGCCCACACATGTGTACGTCCATGACAGGAAGGTGCTGGGATGAGACCGTGGACTTGGAGGCACGGGGGCTGGTGCCCTGCAGAGCATTGGCACCCACACGCCCAATAGCAAGGGTTTGCGTTCTCACTGGACAGAAAACATCTCATGATCACAAGAATCTCCTTGTAACTGACCAGGTTCCTATGCACTGTCACGTACACTGACAGCATTGAGAACTGTCTGCATTGATGGCAAATAGTAAGCGAAACCCCCTAATCCAGGCGACACTCAGGCTTGGAACAGGGAGGTGAGTGTGGGGAGCGGGTCCTGCTTGTGTGGGAGCGAGCAGGTCGTGCTTCCTCAAGAGCAGTGCTAAGTGCAGCACCAGCCTGGAGCCTCACACACAAAGGAGCCTGCTGGTTAGCGTGCTCCTCAGTTCCCTCCTCTTAGAGAGCCAAACCCGGCTCCAGGCTCAATGGCTGGAGGCCACCAGCTGGAAGCGCTCTGTGGCCTCTCCATGTGGCCAGAGCTGGGCCAGAAAAGGCCGATGATGCCTCAGGTCCACTATCGGTTATGAAATGAGCATGAGAGTTTTACCCTGAAGTTCAAAAGGAGAATAATGAGGGAATGTGAGAAACTTGCACAGCAGAGTCTGAAACCCAGTGGGACCAGAACAACTGTGAGCTCTCTGTGAAACACACACGTGCAAAGATGAACAAATACAATTTACTATCGTTGTTTACAATGGATAAGCTCTGGACCAGCCAATAGTAGGGACTTGGTCAACTAGATGGTGTCCATTCATATAATGGAACACAGTGGCAGCCACTGACCATCACAACATTGTTTAACATGAAAAGTACTCACAGCTCCTTAAGGGAAAGATCAAAATGATGGACTCCTCCAATCCCATTGGTGAGGGGACAGACACCAGAGCTCAAGAGTGTGATCCCCTGGCCCTTCCTCCCTGCCTTGGGTTCTCTCTCCCTCCCTGGCCTCCCTGCAGTTGCAGATACTCACGTGTCTGATTCCAGATGGGTTCTCTGGGGCTGGCTCTCCCAGCGTCCTCTCCGTCCTGAGCAGCAGAGGGATGGTGAAAAAGCAGCGCCTGAAGGATGTAGTGGGGGACTGCCCCTATAAGGTCAACAACCACTTGGACCAGGAGTACACACCGCTGCCGGTGAACAAGATCATCAGGTCTGCGGAGAAGATGGTTGGCAAGCAGTTGGCGTATGATGTTCTGGACAGAAACTGTGAGCACTTTGTCACGGACCTGAGATACGGCAAGGCCCGCAGCCGGCAGGTAAGGCCCTCTCTGGGGGCTCCCTCTCCCTCTGGAGCTCTGCTTGGAGTGGGGGCAACAAGAATGACCCTGAATAAATCTAAAGGGAGCTCTCAGGTTCTTGTTGGCTGGAAGTCAGGATGTTTGAGAACAAATCTCACATCTGTTTTAATCCACTCAGGGTCTTTGGACAGAGCACTTCCTCTCTGGCCTCAGTTTCCCCATGTGCAGAAGGAGGGGATATTGGAGGCCCTGGGGCTCTGGGCTCCTCTGTCCCTTTAGGATCCTTTGTCTCTAAGACCCCCCCTAAAGGCAGCTCCTGATGCCCTGTGTGCTGTCAGGGAAAATCTGGGCCAGCCCAGCACCGTGTCAGGTGTCCTAAGGCCCCAGAGAGCCCTCAGCAAGAGATGCTCAGGTCTGTGGCCTATGTGAGAGCTCCAGAACATGTTGTGTAAGGTCTGGGCACAGCCTTACCCCTCTCCTCTTTCCCTCTTACCAACACACAGCAAGTTAGGAGGCAGAAGCAGGATTCAATGCCCAGCGGTCCCTGCTCTTTCTGCTGAACCACAGCACCTTCAGGGCTCACAGCCCCTGTGACTGGGTGATGGGCAGCCTGGATAGAGGAGAATGAGGGGAGGAGGAGCAGGTTTGGGAAGGAAATTAAGGATTTGATGCTCATGGGGGATGTTGAGGTGAATAGTTAGACATCCAGATGGACCTGTTGAGTAGCAGTTGGATGTGTGAGTCTGGAGTTCAGGGCTGAGGTGGGGGTGGACATAGAAGTTTCCAGGCTGCACCTGGGAACAGAACACCGAGCACAGTGATCCCTGAGGCCATGGTTTCCCATTGTCCCCCTCAGCTCTGCCACCACCTCCCTCTGCAGAGCTGGAGCCCCGACCACAGAGCCATTCCCACTTTCACCCCAGAGCTCTGGCCCCAGGAGCCCAGGCAGGAAGCCCCCTCCCCTATTCCCCCCCGTCAGGACTGAGTGACCCCACCCAGGAGGCTCACACACAAGGATTCCATCCGTCCATCTGCCGGTTGTCAGGACACAGCCTGACCAGCCCAGCTCTAACAAGCGGTCACACTTCCAGCTCCCCAGGGAAGGGATGTGGGGACAAGGCCAGCATCTCTGAGGGGAGGGCGGGAGCAGAGTGTGGCCTCCAGCCCCTTTGGTGGGAGGGAGGACCTATCTGGACTTGCTGTGGATGGTGAGCCTGGGCTGCTCTTTTTCAGGCAGAAAACTTCCAGAACACAACACTTCCAGCTGTGGGCACAGCAGCTACTGTGTGCGGAGCCTTGGCTGGGGCTGCCTATGTTGTCATGAACACACTATCCCAGCGCTAGTGACAGCCTGAGGGGCACAAAATCCCGAGTTAGAAGCCGCTGTAGAAACGACCTCGCATTCTCCTGTGCCCCTGACCTGAGCTCTCAGATAACCTGTCGCCCTGTCTCTCACTGGCCTCCCTCCCTCCCTGGCTGGAGGATGGACTGACTGTGCCAAGACTCAAGAACTCACACCTGAACCTATGGACCCTCCCGGGAGCAATCCCGCCGCTTCTGTGGCGCCTGAACCAGATCGGAAGCCCCGGGGCGCCTGTGGGGGAAGCCAGCGTTTTCCCTCCGTGTGGCCTTCCTCTCCAGCTGGGGGCCAGGATCCACTCTAAGAGGACAGCGAGGGGACCGGAGAAGGCGGTGGGTGGGGGATCCCAGCCCCTGCCGGCCTGGAATAGGTGCTCAATGTCTGTGGTCTGCCCCCTGCCATCAGCAGACACCACTCATCTCCTCTCATGGTGCGAAACCAAACACAGGTCCCTCCCCCCAGGCCCACCTCTGGCCCTGAATCCCCTGATGAGGCATCAACACCTCCAGCTTCTCTCCCGTCCCTCCTGCCTCCTCCAGTCAGCCCTCCTTTTAGACGTTTTGTTTTTCTTTCACACTTTGTTCTTCAGAGAGGAAGGGAGAAGGAGAGAGGGAAACATCAGTGATGACAGAGGAGCATCGATCAGCTGCCTCCTCACGTCCCACACCAGGAATTGAGCCGCGACCGGGGCACGTGTGCCCATCGGGAACCCAACTGTGACCTGCTGGTGGGGACTCAGCCGCTGAGCCACCGGGCTTGTTTTTCTTCTTTAACTCGAAGGTCAAGTCCTCACCCATCTGTGACGCCCACGTGGGCTTGACCATCTCCCCGCGCCCCCCTCGCCACGGCTCAAGCTGCCCGGGTGGAAGATTGAGACGAGTGGCCTCCACGTTGGGGGCAGTGAAACGCTGTGTGACTCTGTGCTGAGGGAGGCCTGTCGTTATCATGTGTCCAGATTCACAGACGGCGCCACACCCAGAGCCGGGGCTGCATAAGGCCCGTGGGGTGTTGTGTTGTGCCGATGGAGGGTCTTCAGTGACACCAAAAACACCCGCTGGGGTCAGGGGGGTCGGTAATGGGGGAGGCTCTGCGAGAGTGAAGGGCAGGGGCCCATGGGAAATTTCTGTACCTTCCTCTCAATTTCTCTCTAAACCTGAAATTTCTCTAAGAATAAAATGAAGTCTTTTATGAAACTTACCCTCCTCAGAGCATCCCTCTGCTAGTACCTAGCGCGCCCTTGGTGTGGTCTCAAAGGGGGCAAGGCCCCCTGCCCTCTACTTCCTGGCCTGGCCTCTGCCACAGCCCTGACACCCTCACTGGAGACCTGAGGGCGTCCCCTCCCCTGGCTGTACCTCCCCTGCAGGAGAAAGTGGGGTGGAGGGGTCTGATCCCCTCGGTGCCCAGACACCAGGCTGGGACGAAGCTCGGGCATCAGAAGGCGGAAGAACAAAGAGAATGACCTGCACTTGCTGCCACAGAGCGCCCTGCTCAGATGCCCAGGGGGAAAGGTCAGCCTCCAGGCGGGGGTTCCGGAAGGAGCCCTGCTGGCCTTGCTCCCAGCCTACCTCTGGGTCAGAGGGCACAGCTGGCTGTGAGCCCCATAACCAGCGGGTGAGAGACGGAGGCGGCTTCTGGCCTCTTGTCCAGAGCTCCCCCAAGAGCAGTGGGAGAGGGGATCCGGGGACTCTGGTCTTGTGGGAGATGTGAGCTCCGGGCTCTAATTCTAGGCAGGGAATCTCCCCTGGAACCAGACCCAGGCTCCCAGCGGCTCTGGAGGGACCCAAGGGTGGTGCCAGCTCCGCCCCCTCCCCTGGGTGGCCTGGACCAGGGGTGCCAGTCCCTGCAGTTGGGGTCACCCACAGTCCCCTCCAAGGGAAACTGCCTCTGCCTCCAGGGTCAGGTTCAAACTCTGGGACTGGCCTGATCCCTCAGAACGATTGGCTCAGTGTGCTCACCTGACCCCACAGCAGCCAATCAGGTGGCTGAGCTGGTACAGTGGGCTGAGCCAATCAGATTCTCTCTCGGGGACTTGACCAAGGAACCAGGAGCTGCAGCCTTGAGGGGAGATGCTGCTGAGCTGATTCAGAAGGGAAAGCCGTGGAGGGAGGTGTCAGGGACCGGCTCGGTGGGTAGAACAGGATTCTAATTATTCCGGAGCCCAGAGGCGTGGAGAGCAGCAGCAGGAAGGGCGCCTCGGCAGCTGCGGGGAGTCCCATTTCTGGCTCAGCATCCTCAGCACAGATCCCGCTGCTGAGCCTGGCCCTGGCGGCCATGGGTCCTGCTCTGCCCTCACAGGTGTGCCCTCCAGGAGGAGCCCCGAGGAAAGCAGAGAATGCCAGGATGCCCTCGGGCAGCTGGGGAAGAGCCCGGTTCATGAGCTCCAGCTGCCATGGCAACATGCCACTGGCTGGGGCTTCAGCACAGACACTTATTTCTCACAACCTGGAAGCTGACGAGTTCATGGCGAAGGTGCTGGCAGGGGCAGGTCCTGGAGGAACCCTCTTCCTGCCTTGAAATGGCCACCTTCTCGCTATGTCCTCACATGGGAGAGAGAGCTCTGGTCTGATTGAAAGGGCACGGACCCGTCATGCCAACCCCGCACCCTCGCCACCACCTCATGACCTCTGAACCTCATGCCCTCCCAGAGGCCCAGCTCCAAATGCCATCACATTGGGGGTTAGGGCTTCAACGTGGATGGGGTAGGCACGGGGACACAAGCACTGAGTCCATGACAGAGACAACTGTGTCTTTAAAAGCATTCCCGCTAGGCCATGTTTCTCCAAATAAAATCTTCTTGTGCTTTTATAGCTCCATGGAAACCAGCCTCAGTGGCCTGGCTGGTGTGGGTCAGTGGTTGAATGTTGATGCATGAACCAAGAGGCTCCATCCCCAGTAGGAAACATGCAGGAGGTAGCCACTGATGTCTCTCTCCCATCAATATTTCTCTCTATTCCCTGCCCCTTCCTCTCTTTCTTAGAAAAAAAAAAATCAATAAAAACATGTTTTTTAAAAAATTAGCCTAAATGAGTATAAAACAGAGTGAAATCAATAAACCAAACTGAAAGGTTCGGAGGGGCCAGCGTCCCGCCACGTGACAGGAGGCCACAAGGTATCAAAGGAGATTTATTCCAACACCTGGTGCGGGGGCGCTGAGACCGAGGACGGCATCCGCGGAGAGAGCAGGGGAGGGCCCATTCCTCCTGGGGGCTGCCTGCCGTTCTGCTGACATGGGGTCCGGTCCGCCCTTGGCTCCTCCCATCCGGGGCCTCCTGGTGACCTGAGCTGTGCGGTGCTCCAGGCCGCAGGCTTCCTGCAGGATCTCTGCTCAGCGCACAAGTCTCGCTCTGCCCCTGGTATTCCCTTAAACCCTTTCACACACCCCACCCCGCTGGCTCAGCAAGTCTCTCCATCCTAACTGGTTGCTGCGGAGATGATTCCTCGACCTCACTGCTCTTCCTGCTCCTCTTTGTCCTGCAGAGACCTGACGAGGGCCCCGATGCCCAGGCCCAGGAGCACGCAACCTGCTACCACGCCGACTGACACGCCGCCTGCCACGACCGCCTGAGTGACCTGCAGCACAAGAGACGGGCGTCACCCTCCCTGTCAGGGCCTGGCCTCGGACACACCCACCTCACTCAGGAGAGACCAGGGCCCTCCAGGGCACCACAGAGGAGCAGGTGTTTGCAGGGCAGCAGGAGAGAGAGCGGAGGGGAGGCGGGAAAGAGCGAGTGGGAGGAGCCGTGGGTGTGAGGGGACAGCGGCCCTGTGGGTACTGAGGCTCAGGAAGCTGCAGGGCTGGCCGGGGAAGGACACAGGCCGTGCCAGACGCTCTAGGTTAGGGCTGGCTCCTGGGAGCCGGAAGCAAGTTCAGAGTTGGGGGACCGCCTGTGAGCTCTCACGACCAAGTCTGGGCCGGGATGGTTCTGGGGGGGCCCTGGGCCTGAGTGTGGCCCAGGGTGGTTCTGGGGGCCCAGGGGCTGAGCCCGGCCCAGGCAGGGCGTGGGCACCGGTGGAGGAGCTCTGGATCCCGTGTGGTGACTGGGCAGCGGCTTTTGGAGGGAGATCACCTGGCTCTGCGCTGACCGGGGAGGGTCTGGACAAGGAAGCGGATACTCGGAAAACAGATGAGGCGGGTGAGACTCCAGGATGATCCCTGAGGATCGTGCACTCTGCAAAGCTGTGAGAGCCCCCCATGCCCGCAGGCTGTGCTGGCAGAAGCAGGTCAAGACCCAGACAACGGCTGCTCAAACCCCATGGCACAAAATGAAGCCCATAGCCCAGCCCAGCCTGGAAATGGTCGCTGTGGGCACCGGGTAATGACATAACATAGCAACACCCAGCTTCCTCTCCCTAGCAACTAGTCTCCTTGGAGTTTCTTCAGCCCAGGAACATGACTTGCTTTATAGCCAGGTGCAAACATTTTACACTTTAACCAAATATCTGTGAAGCGTTTTTCCATGCCTCATCTCATTTGATCCTCACACAAGACCTGGAGTAGGTAGGTAGGAGACTTGGTAGAGTAGAATCCTATTTTCTTTTCATTAGCCAAAAAATGGAGATTTAGAAAGTTTAGAAACTTGACCTGACTGAAAAGAAGTAAGAAATGGTGGACCTTGAAAATGACTTCAGGTTTTCTCACTGCACAGAATATAGTCAGACACTGCTATGGTTACATACTTTACCCTTTGTTCTCCTGCATGATCTACAATAATAATCTGCTTCATGTTGATATTTACTGCTGTGTTGCTGACAATTACCGGAAAGAGAAGTTGGGGTGTTTCACTGGGCTGGAAAAAGTTTAGATAAATCAGAAAGCAGGTCTAGTTAAGCAACTTTATCTATATATAAAACTCTCATTGGCACCAATTGCACACATGTGTTTCTATCTGTCATTGTCAACCATGAATTTGGATGACACTTCTACTAGTATTATAGAGAAAACTTAATAGCGATATTAAAATATTTCTTCTAATTAATTTCCTTTCAATGTGCATGAATTCTTGCACCAGGCCTCTAGGAAATTCATAATTCTTTACCCTTTTTGGCCTCGCGCCTTCCACCTTTGGTGATTCTAACATCCACCACTGTTTTAGGAAGATTTTCCTAAAAATCTTCTTTAGGAATGGCCTTACCCATTTCGTTCAGATTTGTCCATGACTGCATTTCTGCTACAAAGCTGCGCAGTAAAGTGGCGAGACAGAGGCCACGTGGGCCAGAGCCCAAAAGGTGCACCCGGCCCATCTCAGAAAGCATCTCTCTGGCCTAACCAGGCTCTTCCTCCTCCTGGCTCCCACTTTTCCTCCTCCCTCAGTCTGTAGTCCTTATTGCCCCTGGTCCTCTCCAGCTTATTTTCCAGTTCCAGATTAGTCAAAAGAATTAAATCAGACCCTAACCAATGTGGCTCAGTGGATAGAGCGTTTGCCTGCAGATTGAAAGGTCCCAGGTGCGATTCTGGTCAAGTGCATATACCTTGGTTGCGGGCACATCCCCAGTAGAAGGTGTGCAGGAGACAGCTGATCAGTGTTTCTCTCTCTCTCTCTCTCTCTCTCTCTCTCTCTCTCTCTCTCTCTTTCTCTCTCTCTCTCTCTCGTCAATGTTTCTAACTCTCTATCCCTCTCCTTTCCTCTCTAAAATCAATAAAGATTTTTTTTTAAAGAATTAAATCAGCTGAAACCTGTTTGGCTTAGTGGATAGAGCCTCGGCCTGCGGACTGAAGGGTCCTGGGTTTGATTTCAGTCAAGGGCATGTGCCTTGGTTGCAGGCACATCCCCAGTGGTGGGTGTGCAGGAGGCAACTGATCAATGATTCTCTCTCATGGATGTTTCTGGCTCTCTATCCCTCTCTCTTCCTCTCTGTAAAAAACCAATAATATATATATATATATATATATATATATATATATATATATATATATATATATATTTTTTTTTTTTTTTTTTTAAAGAATTAAATCAGATTCAGCTTGGGCTTTGCCTCTTCTGTGATGCCTTCCTGGATCAGGCACCAGGGTTCAAATCCTACCTCTGCACATGGCTGTCAGGTGCTAGAGCCTCAGTGCCCAGTGGTTGAATGGGTTTGGGTAAGCTAGTAAAGCACCTGGAGCCTCAGTTTCCCCAACTGTAAAGTGGGGATTAAACAAGCCTCCCTGGAGCTATGGGACATCACCCCCTGACCTCACTGGTCTGCACAGCGACTGGCACATCTCCCCACCCTCCTCCCTACCCCGACTGTCACTCCCTCGCGGGCAGGGGTTCTGTCCCTGCTGTTTTGTCTCGTTCGTGCCTCCGCCCCTCCACCCTGGCCTGGCCCACCGGATGCCCAGCCCCTGTCACGGGGCAGGGACGCAGGCTGAGGACGCACCTGGTCGCTGCGGGGGACCCCGTAGCGCAGCTTGTTCACGAAGTGCTCGCAGTTGGCGCTGGTCAGCTTGTAGAGCATCTCCTGCCCCACCAGCGCCTCCGCCCGCTGCACAATCTCTCTGGGCGGCAGCGGGGCGTACTTCCCGTCGTGCTTGTTGTTGACACGGTACTTGTCTCTCCCGGCCACAAAGTACAGCAGCTCCTTCTTCACTGTGGCCTTGTCGGTCAGGGCGGACATGAGGCTGGCCGGCCCCGCTCCCGCGATTTCACCTGAGGTCCCCGGAGAGAAGGAGGGCGATGGTCGGGGCTGAGGGCGGGCCAGCAGGCAGCCCCACTGCCTGGGCGTCATCCTGAGGACCAGCTGTGGGAAGGCCGGCCCCCTGCCTGGCTTCAAACTCAGACACAGGCCGACCCACGCCGGTGGCCTTGGAGCAGTCACAGATGCCCCTGACTCTGGCTGCCTCGTTTCTAACACAAAGGACGTGGGTTCTGCTAAAGGCCCGTGTGAGCGCAGATGGGCCTGGAAGATGCAGGAGGGGCAGAGCGGAGCAGGGCAGACAGCAGGCGCTGGCCCGCAGAGCGGGAGGGGGCCTCCGCAGCCAGGGGACGTGTTGTCACTAGCAGGAAAGGAAGCTGTGAGCAAGCCCAGGCCTGACCTGCACACCCAGAGCCACCCCCCACCCCCACCGTGTGGCCTCAGGCAAGTCCCTTCTCTCCTCAGGGCTCATCACTCACAGCCTGAAGGGTCTGGGTCAGGAGGTGGCACCCTCTCCCAGCTCTCAATTCTCGGGTTTGCCCCTGACAGGACGCCAGCCTCCCGCCTCACCCAGGCTTCAGGGAAAGCTGAAGCGAGAAGCAGAGTGATGGGCCCTGGGACCCTCACCAGTTCTTATTTGGTTCTTAAAATGTCATTTGCCCCTGGCCAGTGTGGCTCAGTTGGTTGGAGCATTGTCCTGTCCACAGAGAGGGCGAGAGAGAGAGAAACATCTCACATCAATGTATCTCTCTCTCTCTTTCTCTCTCTCTCTCTCTCTCTCTCTCTCTCTCTCTCTCTCTCTCTCTTCTCCCCTTCCCTTCTCGAAAAATCAATGGAAAAAATATCCTCAGATAGGATTAGCAAAAAAAAAAAAAAAAAAAAAATGGTAAATTATTCCTCAATAAGCTAATTTCTTAAAGCCTGCGTTTGGCCTTAAAATTCACCTGTGTACACACACACCGTCAGCCACAAAACGCAGGCATGCATTTTATTTGGCCAGTTCCCCGCTGCTGAGTGGTTCCCACGCTCTCGGCCTTTGCTTTCATGCCACGATGCTCTGGGAGGGTAGGGAGGTTGGCCCAGCGCCCGCTAGGCACTGCCCGTGCCCCACCCATGCTGTCCATCCCACCCCTGCAGGACCGGGAGGCGATGGTCTCCTCTGCTCTGCAGAGGGCGCAGCTGAACTTAGGGGGTCCAGTGACACGGGCAAGCGGAGGCCCCAGGATCCAAACGGGTTTGCCAGGTGGGAGGCCCACGCGGCTTCCATGCCGCTGCAGCCTGCGGTGCGCTGTCCTACTCATGTGCCCCCAGAGCATCGAGCACACAGAAAGGGGTGCTTCCCGGGGACCGTGGTTGGCTGGAGGTGAACCCCAGAATCGCCTGGAATACAGGCCAGCTGACTTCCCTCCCCGAACTCGCTGCTGAGGAAGCCGAGCGACTGCCAGACCTACAGGGAACGTCATGCAGCCAATGGGCACGGAGAGCCCCAGGCCGGGCACCAGGCCGGACAGCGCAGAGCGTGCACCTGCTCACACACACACACACACACACACACACACCCCGCCCTGGGCCTGGCGGGGACCAGCTTACTTGGGGGAGCCAGGTGCACCACATAGCCGTTCCCCACGTAGAGGGCCCAGTGCTGGTAGCCAAGGCGGAAGATCTCAATCAGGTCTCCAGGTTGCGGTTTGGCCTGTGACTGAGAAACCAGAGACAGGCTGAGGTTAGTCCCCACAGGGAACATTCTACCGCATTTCCCCGAAAATAAGGCATCCTCCGAAAATAAGACCTACTTACAGGTTTCCTTCTGAGTGAAATATAAGGCACCCTCAGAAAATAAGGCCCCCCCCTAGGCTAAACATGAGAGATTTGGTCCACTGATTCTGAAAGAAATGGAGTCACAAGAAAATCACCGGGAAATTCAGGAATTGGATTGTTATGATGATGTTCCAGAAGATGATGACATGATTGTCATAGAATAAATGAGTAAATTCTTGATACTGTAGGATTCACAGTTTGTCTGGTTTGTGTGGACAACTATCGTACTACCGTACCGTATACAGGTAATACATTTCCTTTATTTTCATTTAACAATAAATGTGTACCGTATTCTTCTTCATGGAAAAATAAGACATCCCCTGAAAATAAGACCTAGCGCATCTTTGGGAGCAAAAATTAATATTAGACACTGTCTTATTTTGGGGGAAACAGGGTAGAACCTGATCTGGAAGGAGCCCAGCCCAGCTCCCTCTGACCTCCCTCTGACCAGCTCCTGTAGGAAATGGCGCTCCTTGCTCAGATGGAAAGGCCTCCTTTGCTGGGGCTGCTGAGCTGGACCTGAGCTCACGGGGACAAAGGAGAGATGGACAGGGTGTCTGGAGGGGAGGTGTGGATGGGGGTACAGCACGGGGTGTGGCCGAGAAGTGTGCAGACATGGGCGTGAGCACACGCTATGCCAGAGCATGTTGGTGTCGGAGAGTGAGTATATGACACCCAGGAAGTCCCAAATGCCTCAGAAACGCCACCACCTTCGCCAGCCTGCGTGACTCTGAGTGATGGAGCCCCGGTTTGCGCAGCCAGACACGGTGCTCAACAGGCCCACACACCATATCCACCATTCCTCTGACTACAAACTATCATGGCCCCATTGGACAGATGGGAAGACTGAGTCTCAGGAAGCTTAGGTAACACGCATCCTTACGAAGTGAGCAGAAGAGAAAGATTGAGACCTAGGTCTGCGTGTTTCCAAGCCCAGAGCAGGAAGTATGTTGCCCTTATCCCACTGGGAATGAGAGACACGCCCTTATCACACAAGTTCTATTTTAGGATCACTCCGTGCCGGCCAGCACCTCTCCCCCTGACACAGCTGAACGGGGTCCCAGGGCCCGACCACCATGAGCAGGGTGGGCGGCTGCCGCTGGATGACGTGAGGATGGCTGCCAACCGGAAGTTTGCTGGGGAGACATGGTTGAGAGAAAAGCTCTTGACTACAGGCATCAGGTGTCATCCTGACCGAAGATGGAACAATCTGAGCATCAGCAGCTGAAACCAGTTTGGCTCAGTGGATAGAGCGTCAGCCTGCAGACTGAAAGGTTCCAGGTTCGATTCCGGTCAAGGACATGTACCTTGGTTGCGGGCACATCCCTAGAAGGGGGTGTGCAAGAGGCAGCTGACTGATGATTCTCTCTCATCGATGTTTCTAACTCTTTATTCCTCTCTTCCTCTGTAAAAAATCAATAAAATATATTTTTTTAAAAAAAAAAAAAAAAAAAAAGGAACACAGCAGATTGTGAACAATGATACTGATGTGCTCACAATGGCACTTTATACAATGCGCTAGTCACCTTGCGAAAGAATTACCAGCTTGTTTCAAAAGCTGGTAAATAAAGGAAAAGATTCAAGCATCTCCTAAGTGAACTGTACTCAGACAACCAAGTTCAAAATGACAGCAAATCCCAAAGCCACAAAACAACACTTAAAAGATGGCTACAGCCTTAACCAGTTTGGCTCAGTGGATAGAGGGTCAGCCTGCGGACCCAAGGGTCCCAGGTTCGATTCCAGTTGGGGGCATATACCTTGGTTGCAGGCACATCCCCAGTTGGGGGAGGAGGGGGTAGGAGGCAGTTGATGGATGTTTTTCTCTCATTGATGTTTCTGATTCTCTCTCCCACTCTTCCCCTTCCATATATTGCTCCTTCCTCTCTGTAAAAAAAAATCAATTAAAAATATATTTTTTAAAAAGGTGGGTATACTTCTATATGCAAAGGAGTAGAAAATATGGGGGATGCAGGGGACTTTAACCTCAATGTTAGGCTTCCATTTGGGTTTGGGGGACTGACAAGGAAAACGTGCTCACGTATTTGAGGCAGAGATGAAATAAAAAGCTTTGGTGCGCTGTCGGGCTGCGGCGAGCATTGGGAAACGTGGCTGTCCTGTGGGCAGAGGAAGGAGCAGCATGTGGAGGGGAGGAGAGGGCGGAAAGAGAAGCAGAGGGGCAGGCACGCTGCTTGGAGATGAGGGTGGACAAGAAGGCCTGCCTGCAGCCCCTCCTCGGCCCACCCGCTGGGAGCCGTCCTCCTGGCCCCTCCCTCCCAGCTCGTCCCAGCCACGCAGGCCAGTGTGACCGAGGAGAGGGACTGGGCAGTGGGCAAGGCTGCCCGCCCGGACCCCACCATTCCCGCCTCCTCAGGACGCTCGGGGAGCCCTCCCACCCCGGGTAGCGGACCCTCGGGCCCTCGGTGCCAGAGCTGTGGACCAGTAAGGAGACCCACGTCATCACCACTGACAGGGCTGCGGGGACTTACCAGAGCCATCCTTCCGTGCAGGAGAGTCTGCGTGCTGCTGCCTCAGGGCCAGCCTTCTGTGATCAAGAGTTTCGTTTCCCGTCTGACCCCTGGCCAGGAACACAAACACCTGTACACAAAGCCATGTGACACGTCCTCTGTAAGACCTGTGTCCAGGTGACCTGCAAGGTATGACTCAGTAAAGGGAAGGTCATCCTCCCCACATTTAGATGTAGCATGTTTTACCTTATGCTACTAATAAACACAGAAAATTTTTAAAGTGAAAAATGCAAAGCAAAGACCACACAAAACCTGCTCTTGGTTCAAAGCAGGGCCAGGCACAGGCCAGGTAGACACGTAGGCCTGGCAACCCGCCAGAGAGAAAGCAAAGTCCACATGCTGAGCCGGAAGGGCTTTGTGGTGGCCGCGGACAGCGCCCCGGTCATAAGTCACCAAGTCTCAGGTCCCAGGGAAGAGGAGAGAGGAGCAGCTGGTCAGGTGGGTGTGGGGGCAGGGATGGAGAGACAGAGGAGGGAGGAGCTTTCAGGAGGCCCAACACGGGGACTGACCATGACCAGAACACACCACCACTTCCACCAACCTCACTGCCCCGCACTGGAGGCCCGCTCGCTCCCCCCTTTCCCCCTCCCCCCGGCCCACAGTTCAGAAACACATCCCAGACCAATTGGAAACCCAAATTCACCCCTGCCTGGGTGTGGAGAGGCCGCTTTTTTTTAGACACCAGCGTGCTACCCCATCCAAAGCTCCAAATAGGATTCTCTCACTGACGCCCCCCTGTGGGCTGTAACATCCTGGGCAAAAGCGGGGAGTGAGAGAGGGGAGGGCCCTCAGCATCCTCATCGTGCGGAATGGGGGAGTCATAGCCAATGTCTTGTCTGTGATGGTCTTGCTCTTAGAAAATATTTCCCGCGTATAAATGTGCCCCTTAAACAATCTATACGTATTTAGTTTGCTTGTTTTGAATGTGGTAAAATCAGAATCAAGTGTCTTACATTGCATAACTTGATGATGTTTGCTCATATTAGGTTCCTTGTTGAATCATGTTCATTCATTGCCGAAACCGATCATTGTCACTAATAGAGAGACGTGAACAGGGAATCCGGAAGGCTGGTCAACCTTAATTGCTCTGAAAGGTTGGAGCTAATCACTCACTGTCTAGTTGAAACCTTGGTAGCTAAAGGAGCCTCCACCTGTTAGTCTTATGTGAATTCTTGCTGCTTGGCTATTATTGGAATTGCCTGCCTAAAGGATATGGGTGTATCCCATAACCTTAATAAAAGGGTAGCAAGGCCAGAGCAGGGTGCAGTCCTCCCCTAGAGGCCCCCAATTCCCAAGTTAATACTTTCCTAGTCTCTTTCATTTGTGTGAGGCCTTCTCCAGAACCCGAACCCTGAGCCAGAACCCTAAACCACACGGGATGTGAAAGGGGCTCCCACAACTCATATTCATGTGGGATGTAGCACAGTTTAATTATCCTCTCCTGTCAGTGGACATTGGGGTGTTCCCAGTGGGTTGCGATTACAGACAGTTTCCATGAGCACCCTCACACAAGCCTCCTGGTGGACCTGGAGTCTTCTCTAAGCAGAGGCTGTTAAACCTTTTCAACCAAGATCCACAGTAAGAAACACATTTTATAAGGTACCAGGATCTATAGAGACTTTTATAAGGTACCAGGATCTATAGTTTCCCCGAAAATAAGACAGTGTCTTATGTTAATTTTTGCTCCCAAAGATGCACTAGGTCTTATTTTCAGGGGATGTCTTATTTTTCCATGAAGAAGAATACGGTGCACATTTATTGTTAAATGAAAATAAAGGAAATTTATTATCTGTATATGGTACGGTAGTACGGTAGTTGTCCACACAAACCAGAAAAACTGTGAATCCTACAGTATCAAGAATTTACTCATTTATTCAATGACAATCATGTCATCTTCTTCTGGAACATCATCATAACAATCCAATTCCTGAATTTCCTGGTGAATTTCTTGTGGCTCCATTTCTTTCAGAATCAGTGGACCAAATCTCTCATGTTTAGCCTAGGGGGGGCCTTATTTTCGGGGGATGCCTTATATTTCACTCAGAAGGAAACCTGTAAGTAGGTCTTATTTTCGGAGGATGTCTTATTTTCGGGGAAACTTGGTAGAAGTCTTACCAAAATCTAGATGAGATACACTCTGATAAATTCTGTTCTTTATTTTTTCTAACTTATTGACTGTGACCAACTAAATTGAATATATCACTGACGAAAGGGTCACAAAGCAGAGTTATTGGGTTGCATGGTCTTGTTAGGCAGGATGGATAGTAGTTGGGGGGAAGGAGGGTAGCAAAAGAGGGAATATTTCTCACCCACTGAATGAAGAAGTCAGCAATCTTAGGACTTGACGAGATAAAATTGCCAGATGTTCTCATAAATTTGGGAGAAAGCCACAACAATGTAAAAGGGGGACCTGGAGCCGAAACCGGTTTGGCTCAGTGGCTAGAGTGTCGGCCTGCGGACTGAAAGGTCCCAGGTTCGATTCCAGTCAAGGGCATGTACCTTGGTTGCGGGCACATCCCCAGTAGGGGATGTGCAAGAGGCAGCTGATCGATGATACTCTCTCATTGATGTTTCTAACTCTCTATCCTCTCTGTAAAAAAATCAATAAAAAATATGTTTAAAAAAAAGGGGGGGGGGGGGCCTTGAAATCTAACCTGTTGCCCAAAATATCCAGCAGGGGAATCTTGAAACCTATAAGAACCTTTGAATCCCCACCAGGCGGGGCGCTGAGACTAGCTGAGTTGCTCGCTTGTGCTTTATGCCAAGTGTATTTTTAATAAATGTCCTTGCTTTGCTTTAACACTGCTTTTGGTCACTCCTCTGAATTCTTTCTCCAATTCAAGAATGACAAGTATGACCTTCTTCAACTTCATTAGAGAAAGAATGCAAAATTAAGTTTCCCGCGGGCAGTACACGGAGTCACAATCGCTCACCAACTTTTTAATGTGTGCCAGCATGGTAGTCATAGCACAGGATCTGTTCACATTTCTATGTGATTGGACATTTGTATTTACTCCCGCGAGCTCTGAGGGTGTTTCCAGAAGAAATTAGCATTTAAATTAGTAGACTGAGTAAAGGTGACGCACCAATGTGGGCAGGCATCATCCAATCCACTGAGAGTCCAAACAGAATGAAAAGGTGAAGAAAAGACTAACGCTCTCTCTTCGTGAGCTGGGATGTCCCTCTATGATGCCCTTAGACTTCACAGTTCCTGTTTTTCCAGGCTTTGAACTCCAGAGTTTACACCAATGGCCTTAACACCTTATTTTCGGTCCTTCAGCCTCTCAACGAATTACACCACTGGCTTTTCTGGTTCACTGCTTGCAGATGACAGATTGTAAGATTTCTCAGCCTCCTTAGCCATGTGAGCCAATTCATGCACTAAATCTCATTTATCCATATCTGTGTCTATATCTATATCCTATTGGTTCTTCTTCCCTGAGGAGCCCTAACAAAATTCAACCTAGTAAATTTGAAGATCTACTTGGCTTTATGAAGGAATTTATGAATGGGGCAACATCTCATCCGGCAGGCACATACCGTAGGCAATGTTTAACATAAAAACATTCAAACCTGTAAAGATTTTTGTGAGTTTATTTGCGCCAAACTGTCGGCAATTGCCGGGAAGCAGAATCTTCACGGATTGGGATAATGCTCCAGAGCATGGTGGTTTTTCACCTATTTTTATACATTGCAATCAAAGGAGGGGACATGGGAGGGATACAAGAAATCCACTGGTGATGAATTAGGGAGCGGAAGAAAGCAAAGTGAGGAAACCTCTGGGATTGGGTAAAAAGTAAAAGATAGACACATACTTAGGTGGGTACAGGATTGTCAACAGTCATCAATTAACATGATAAAAATAACTATGAAGGAGTTTATGGTATCTGCCCACGTCAGTTGTGCCTGGAGGGGTCCAGAAAAAGGGAAGTTACAAGTTGCCCAGGTATTTCAAGGATATGTTACCAGAGATACAAAAAGACAGCCAAAACCAGTTTGACTCAGTGGATAGAGCATCGGTCTGCGGATTGAAGAATCCTGGGTTCAATTCCGGTCAAGGGCATGTACGTTGGTTGTAGGCGCGTCCCCAGTGGGGGGGGGGGGGGGGGGGAGGTGCAGGAGGCAGCTGATCAATGATTCTCTCTCATCAATGTTCCTAACTCTCTATCTCTCTCTCCCTTCATCTCTGTAAAAAATCAGAAAAATATATTTAAAAAAAAAAAAAAAGACAGGCTCGGTTAGGGTAAAGGCTGACCTTGTCAGTGAAGATACCGGCCTAGGAGGTGACCACCCACCATCACTGCTTTTAGTTAAAGTTTATGTCAGACCATCGTTTTGATGACTTCAGGTCTCTGAGTTTGCAAACGGCCGTGCAGGCCTCCCCTGCGCCTGTCAGGTCAGCATGTGGCCCCTCTCGTCCATAGCACTCTGCGGGCTTGTACAAAATGGAAAGTGTTTTATAGGTAAAAGGGTAGGGCAAGAGAGCTCTCAACAAAAGAAAAGACTATTTTTTAGATTGAGGCCTGGGTTTGGGGGAGAGAAAGGGAACAGCGAGGCTTTTTATCATGCAGTTGCCTCTTTCTATGGGGGAGACGGGTGGAGAAGGAGCCTTACAGGACCGATTGCTTTACCGGTGCCCGACCAGAAAATTCCACATTGGTTGATTAAGATTCAATTTCCGGAAGAGGCTGAGACTACAGTCAAATCAGGTATTAAATCTAGGGTTGGTATCATGGGATTTTAGCACAAGCGATGCCTTTTGTTCTCTGTACAGTGTGTCAGTGCAAGAAACATTCAAACTTGTAAGAATTTTTATGAGTTTATTTTATCCAAACTGATAACAATTGCTGAGAAGCAAAATCTCATCAGATTGAACAAATGCTCTAGAAAATGGCAGTATCACTTATTTTATACATCAGAGAGAGGAAAGGAAAGAGAGAAACATCAATTTGTTGTTCCACTTAATTGATTGATTTATTGGTTAGTCCTTGTAGGTGATTTGACCCGGGTCAAACTCGAAACCTTGGCACATCAGGACAATGCTCTAACCGACTGAGCTACCTGGCCAAGGCTAATGCTTGTGTTTTACTTGGCAAGTTTAACCCATTTGCATTTATGCTGATTACCAATACATTTGGAATTGGTTCTTCCATCTTACTTAGTGATTTCTACACTTTCCCAGTCGTTGTTTTTTTTAATGCAATTTGTTCATGTATTTTTTTAATTGAACTGGGTGTTTCTGTTTTGCTTTCTTGTGTTTTGAGAATGGAGAGAATAAAATGGAATAAGCATAGCTAAGAGAGTCACTTAAAATGGAGGGAGTTGAGCCCAGCCGGTGTGGCTCAGTTGGTTGAATGCTGTCCTGTGCACAAAAAGTTGCATTAGATTCCCTGTCAGGGCACGCACCCAGGTTGCTGGTTCAATCCCCAGATGTGTGCCCAGCAGGAGAAAGCTGGCACGGAGCCATCTGGACATCCTGAGGAAAGGAAAGGGTGCCCAAGCTCCTCTCTTTTCATCGGCAAGCAAGGAAGAACCCTGGACCTTCCTAACCAAATCTTCACTAAGGCAACCGCAGGGCTAGGCACACACAGACCCTGCACTGGCTCCCACTAACAGACACTGCCTACCACAGAGCGTCTGTCCTCTCTCCCTCCTGATCAAGAGTCCTCTCAAGAGTCTCCAAACTCTGATTATCATGTATGATAGAGAAATTAATGCTTTGTTAGCCACACATTGGTCTTCTACTATCAACATAAGCTTTGGTTATTGTTAAAAATAAAAATAAAAAGAGTCTCAAAGAAATTGGATCGTTTCCGCAGCCAGAGGTTCAGCAGCGACTCAACCTCAGCTTTTCTGTGTGTCCCTCCCAGTTGATGTCAGACAACCATGGGCGCATGTGTCCCTCATCATAACTTCTATTGTCAAAGGAATCTTCACTTATTTCTCTGCCTGTGTGAGCCCCTTTCTCTCCCCCCAATCAGAGCACTGTTTCAGGGCTAGCCCTCAACCAGTCTTCAAAAGAACTCTCTTCTTAAGCCGAAACCGGTTTGGCTCAATGGATAGAGCGTCGGCTTGGGGACTGAAGGGTCCCAGGTTCGATTCCAGTCAAGGGCATGTATCTTGGTTGCGGGCACAACCCCAGTAGGGGAGGTGCAAGAGGCAGCTGATCGATGACTCTCTCCCATCAACGTTTCTAACTCTCTATCTCTCTCCCTTCCTCTCTGTACAAAATCAATAAAATATATTAAAAAAAAAAAAAAAAAAAAAGAACTCTCTTCTTAAGTTTACAGAGTCTGTTTTCTCTTCCTTGACAGGATTCCTGACAGCCAGGGCTGACCAAGGAAGCGTTCGAAGCACTAGGAGGGTATCTCTGAGGGACCCACAAAAGCCCCTTTTAGAGAAACGGTCACTTAGGACACCTGAGCCCACAGGGCAGAAGCAGACCTCAAGGGACTCGCCACAGGGGTCCTTCTTTCCCCCAACCCCTCCCAGGAGAGTTGGACAGCAGAGGGGTCAGGCTTGGGGCTTGCCACACCCCCAACCCAGAAGGTGGCCCCAACAGGAAAGAGCTGATTGGCCTGGTAGGGTCACCTGACCCAACAGCAGCCAATCAGTAGGCTGAACTAGAATGTGGTGAGCTGATTCTCTATCAAGAATCTAAACTAGGAGCACCTGACAGGCAGTGGCAGGGATAGAGCTGAGCTCCTATGGGAAGAAGGGGCCAAAGGAAGGGATGTAGGATCAGAGACTTCGGGATGGTCCCAAGCCCAAGGGTGAGGAAGCAGGAGTTCTGAGGGTGGGGGTGGGGAATGGGGGAAAGCAACAAGGCAGAGGAAAGATGTGAAGAGCAGAGGGGTAATAAGGCTGGTTTTAAGATTGGCAAGAGCATAGATTGAGTTTCTTTGTGGCAAAGGTTTGGTTTGGTTTGGTTTGGTTTGGTTTGAACTCCGGGGAACATCTGCAGGCTCTGGCTGCTGAGACTAGAAGGCATCCTGCATCTAGTTCCAGGCCAAGGTCCGGACCATCCCGTGGCTCCTGTTCTTGTATATCAACGAGGTGCGGTCCAGTGTGTCTGTCCTCAGCTACCATTCCTTGAGGAGCTGGACTGTGTCCTGCAGGGTAAAGAACGCAGGCGCGAAGAGAAAATGGAAGGACATCCCCAAAGGGCCCAGGCACAAACTGGCCCCCAGAACCAGAGCCCAGCGGCGCCCTCAACCGACTGCAATCCAGGCCGTTCTGGCTGCATTTTCCCCAATAAAATCCTCCGTCACTGTGCTTTATTTAATTCTGTGAAAATACGCCTTGTTAGAAAAACAGAAGGAAATCCCTAAAACCAAACCTCAAAACCTCTAGCCAAACAAGATCCCGTTATGTTAGTAAAGTAATGGCTGGCAGGACAGTCCCTTCCACTTATTGCTTCTGTCGCTTGTTTCTTGAGATCACGGCTCCAAGGAGGCCCACGGCTGCCAAGCCCACTCCTGCGATGCCCGCAGCCATGATGGCATCTCTGACCTGCAAGAGAGGGGAGGCGGGTCAGACGCTGCACCGGGACTCTGAGCTCAGGCTATGTGGTCAACAGCAATGTCCAGCTCCGAGGGCCTCACATGCCCCTCGGTCTCCATAACAAACTCAAAAGTCAACAAATATTGGCAAGGGAACGGGGTGGAGAGGGCTGGATGGGGAAAGCTTCGGCGGATGGAGCCAGCTGGCCAGGGACGGACTTGGACTTGAAGAGGGAAACTCGATTCGCCCTGCGGGCATTTAAAGCACATGAATCGCAGAGGGTGGCTGTGGAGAGGACAGGGAGATGGAGGCAGGATGGCGGCGGTCCTGGCTGGCCAGCGGGGAGCCCTGGAAGCTAGTGTGAAGTCCAGGAGGAATTGCTACTGCGTCATCAATCAACTCTGACCTCCATGAGGGCCAGGACCTCACACGTCTCGTTCATTGCCATAGCTCCAGGGCCCGGCCAGGGGCCCGACCAGGCGCAAGCGACACCAGCTCCTGTGATCACGCAAAGGGGGAGCAAGCTCCCTCCTCAGCAACTGTTCCCAATGGAGGCACACGGCCCCCGTCAGCAGAGCGGGACTTTTTCCCACTGAAGGCTTGAAAGCGTGTCTTGAGCACAAATCGAGAAATCTCACCCCAAAACCAAGCCAGGCGCTGAAGCAGAATCAAGAACATTAAAGGAAGTTAATTCACTAATTAATTCACTTAAAAAAGAATGGCAGCCGGGACTGGTTTGGCTCAATGGACAGAGTGTCGGCTTGGGGACTGAAGGGTCCCGGGTTCAATTCCGGTCAAGGGCATGTACCTTGGTTGCGAGCATATCCCCAGTGGGGGTGGGGAGGTGCAAGAGGCAGCTAATTGATGACTCTCTCTCATCAATGTTTTTAACTCTCTATCTCTCTCCCTTCCTCTCTGTACAAAATCAATAAAATATAATTAAGAAGAAGAGGAAGAAGAAGAAGAAGAAGTAGAAGAAGAAGAGGAGGAGGAGGAGGAGGAGGAGGAAGGACAAAGGAAAAGATTCTTAATCACTGTATGCCAAGAAGTCCAATGAAGACAGTGTACCAAGAATGCCAGGAATAAGAAGGACGAAAATATGGACTTGATACCCTGGACCCACCCACATGCTTACGTGACATGGTCACCACTGCCCTTGCTACCTAACCACAGAGCTTGCCTGGATTGTATGTGTGTGGCTGCCACAGCCCCCTGGTGGCCAGTGCAGAAAAGAATTTGGAGGTCCTCTGTGGATATATACACTGAGTGGCCAGATGATGATGATCTCTGAGCGCATAATCTTCTGGCCACTCAGTGTCTATCCTATAGAATAAAAGGCTAATGTGCAAATTGTCCCCTGGACCAGGAGTTCGACCAGCAGGCAGGCCAGCCAACCACCCATGTTCTCTCCCCCTGGCCAGGCTGGCCGGACCCCAACCATGCATGAGTATATGCACTGGGCCTCTAATACACACACACACACACACACACACACACACACACTCACACACTGAGTGGTCAGATTATTATGCGTTCAGAGATCATAATAATCTGGCCACTCAGTGTATATGCCCAATGTGTCCAGATGTGTGAGACGCCAGGAGATACACCCGTGTAACTAAGGTGACAAGGCACCCTTCACTGATGTTCTCAGCAGCCAGAAAACACGATGACAGGAAGCTACCAACCTGCGGGTGGCCTGTGCTCAGCCTTTAAACTTCCCCCTAAAAGGCCATGAGGCGCAGTGGGTGTAAAACCACTGCGCCCCGTGTTTTCCTGGCTCAGCTCTGTGTCAGGCAGGAGACATGGTTGGCGGGTGATGGAGGAGGCCCCGGTGCCCCAGTTCCCTACAGAGAAGAGATGCTGATGCCACTGGATCCTATAAAGGATGCTTTGTCCGGGAAACAACAGCAACCCATTGTCTGCGGTCACGCTGTGTGCAGAGAGTGGTGAAACCCAGGAAAGTGCCCTCTGGTTAGACCTGGGAGTGTGAATGTCACAGGAAAACCGTCCTGAGCGTCGGCGCCACTGCAGGTGCCACGGATGGCTCTCTGGGGCGAGGCTGTGGCGTGCTGAAACCACCGGGGTTCTGACACAGACATGGCTGCACGGTGTGCGTCACAGGCCTTAACCAGAATGCTACGAAGAGGAGACGCTAAGAAATCATCTTTTTTTTTTTTTTTAAGTGGACAAACTGAAATACTGTCAGACTACAGAAAATTCGCTGTCTATGTTACTACACAGCTTCTCTCCACTGAGCGCCAGAATTCTTTCTGGGAAAAAGAAAATTCTAAGGTGCTTCCTGTAAATCCAGTAATGTTCTGGGTGGATAAAGGAACAGTGTTATTCTCATAGCAGTTGGGTTTTGACCATACGAGGTTATGAAATAAAAATGGGTATAAAGTATTTGTATAGAAATCTAACTTTAATAATTACAATAATAAAAAATAATTCCTTGCAACTTATCCAGATTTATGTAATGTGTGTATTACCATTGGCCACATCTTCAATTTCTCTTTATCCTAACACTTTATCTAACGAAGAGTAGACTTCACTATGAGTGTGGCTCCTAGTTGCTTTTTGAAGTCCTATCCGCAGGCCAGAAGGGATGGGCAGAAAATGTTCATAAAGTAATGAAAAGCAAGGCTTTACAACCAAGATTACTCTACCCAGAAAAGCTGTCATTTAGAATTGAAGGACATATAAAGAGCTTCCCAGACAAGAAGTTAAAGGAATTCATCACCACCAAACCCTTATTGTGGTGCAATGTTAAAGAGTATTCTTTGAGAAGAAGAAAAAATATATTAAAAATATGAACAATAATATGTCAATAAATACATGTCTATTAACAAGTGAATTATAATCAAGTGACCACTGTAATCAGTTTACTGAACAACCAGTTGATTGGTCACTATTCACTATGACGCACACTGACCATCACAGGGTAGACACTCAATGCAGAAGCCACCCCCTGGTGGTCAGTGCACTTCCACAGCCAACCTCCCATGAACAGCCATCCTCCCATGGTCCTGCCCCCCATCCATCTAGCCTGATTGGCCCCAATCGGCCCCAATTGCCAGCCAGGCCAAGGGACCCCACCCATGCACAAATTTGTGCACTGGGCCTCTAGTATAAAATAAATGAAGAAGCAGAACAGAAACAGACTCATAGATACAGAAAATATTTTGATGGTTGCTAGATAAGAGGAAGTCAGGGGATAGATTAAAAAAGTGAAGGAATTAAGAAGTACAAATTGGCTCTAACTGGTTTTGCTCAGTGGAGAGAGTGTCAGCCTGTGGACTGAAGGGTCTCAGATTCTATTCTGTTTGGAGGAATATGTCGATCAATCATTAATGTTTCTATTTCTCTCCTTCCCTTACCCTTCCTCTCTGAAGTCAATAAAAAAATATTTAAAAATAAATAAAGCACAAACCACATTTTAGTCTAAATCCATTATTTCCCTTTCTTTAAAATATATATATATATTATATATATATATGACATTTCCAACATCCACTAAACCACCATGCTCATGAGATGGGAGACATATGGAAGTTGCCTTTTAGGTCGCTCACATCATGTATTAGGACCGTTACTCACCAGGCCAGTAGCTCTCAGCTGGGGACCGATTTGCCTTGCCCTCTGGGGGAAATGTGGCAACAGCCCAGATATTTTGTTTCTCGCACCTGGCGGTGAGGAAGTGCTACTGTCACCTAGTGTGGAGAGGCCACGGGTGCTGCTAACCACCTTGCAATGCATAGAGCAAGTTGTGACCATGAATTGTCTTCATTGTCATAATCCAAAATGTCAGTAGTACTGAGGCTGATAAACCCTCATTTTTAGGCCAAGCAATGAAAGGGGGGACTTTGGAAACAGTATAGATGGCACTTCTGCTTTGTAAAATATTCTGCTTTCTTTTCTTTCTTTTTTTCTTTTTTTCTTTTTTTTTTTTTTTTTTGTGAGAGGGTCCAGTAGGATTATTTATGCTGTTTTATTGTTGCTGTGTTGTCATTGTTTTTGCCTTTCCAGTGGGTGGGTAGCGCATAGGGCCAAAGCCATAGGAAGAAAAGCGTGACGTGCCCAGTTTGCAATGCTTCTTTTTGCAAGAAGAACTGAATTATTGTTTCTACAGAGTAAACTATTTCTTAGTTATTTTACTATCTCAAAGTTGGAATTACATGTAATTGTCTCGAATATTGTTCATGCCTAGTGACATATGTGTTTATGAAATTATGTAACAATTTTGAATTGACGCATAATTCTTCATTTTTTATAAACCTGTCTGTTCTTTAGTCTATTAATAATCAATGGAAAATAATGAACAATGAGATGACTAGGAGGTAGTTTATAAATCTACCAAATCTTCCTAATGCAGCACCCTGAATGTATAGAGTATCTTATTGCTTTCAAGTTTCCATAGTGACTTTTACTTCAAGTTTATTGCTGCACAGGAGTGTGGGAATTTACCTGAAGTAAAAGCCACCTGGGAATGCGGACTTCAATTGTTAGGCAGTATCACCAATAACGAAAACAGATCTATTCAGCGTAAGTGTCTCTTTTTATGTGATAGTGTCACTGCTATAATACTTTTTAGAAAAACTTCTTTTATACCCAAATCTATCAATAAGTATTAGTTTTCTAATTTCAAATAAATAAATAAATAAATGGAAAACAGGACAGAGACGATAACAAAATCAGAGGAGCAGTGTGGGGGTCCAACATTGGAATAATTGGAGTTTCAGAATGAGAGAAGAGAAAAGGGAACATTTCCAAGAACTGAAGGAAAGGGGTTTCCAGAGTGGAAGGAATCATCGAGGGCCCAGCACGATACATAAAAAACAGATACTCCCAGGTATAGCGTCGTGAAATTTCAGGGCACTGAGGGAAAAGAAAAGATTCTGTAGATTTTGGAAAGAAAAAGTAGATCCCACACAAAGGATCCAAAATCTGAACCATTTCAGACTTCTCGTCAACAAGAGCATTAGTTACTTGACAATGAAGCAATGCCTTCAAATTTTTTTTTGGGGGGGGGGCACGGAGATATATTCTTCCACCCAGTCCCCCACCCGGATGCTCAGCCCCTGTCGCGGGGGGAATGGTCTGGCTCCCGGGAACAGGGACGCAGGCTGAGGACGCACCTGGTCGCTGCGGGGGACCCCGTAGCGCAGCTCGTTCACGAAGTGCTCGCAGTTCTCGCTGGTCAGCTTGTAGAGCATCTCCTGGCCCACCAGCTCCTCCGCCCGCTGCACAATCTTGCTGGGCGGCAGCGGGGCGTACTTCCCGTCGTGCTTGTTGTTGACGTGGTACTTGTCTTTGCCGGCCACAAAGTACAGCAGCTCCTTCTTCACGATGGCCTTGTCGGTCAGGGCAGACATGAGGCTGGCCGCCCCTGCTCCCGCGATTTCACCTGTGGTTTCAAAGACGAGACTGAGCGACGGCCCAGCGCTCACAGCGGCCCTCCTGCTGGGCGCACACACACACACACACACACACACACACCCGGTGCCCCCGCTTGGCAGACTCGGCACAGATATTTTAAATAAAATAAACGGTGATGGACAGGTTCCTTAAGGCCAGATGAGCAGGTGTGGAAAGGAAAAGAGGGAGGGTCAGGCACATGCTGTGTGGCTTTGGAGCAGGTGCTTGCGGTCCCTGGGCCCTGGTTTCCTCATCTGCAATCAGGAGCAGTGAAGGGCCATGATTCGTGGTGGTTTTGTTTTAACCGAGAGAGGCTGGCCTTCCGCACCCAGTGCCGCCTCAGAGGCCCTCCGGGTCAGGCAGACATGGGCCCTCTGGGTCAGGCAGACCTGGGCCCTGCCCACACCCATCCCCCGGGGCCAACGGAGTGTGAACCTCCTGTGATCCTGTCGGGCCACACTTCCTTGGCGGACACAAAGCTGACCACGGCAGGAAGGCGGAGGACCTGCACACGTAGTTCCTACTCTTCTGGGAGCAAAGGGACCAAACCCCACGGCTGCTGCCTGCGAGGTGAGGCCAGGGTGGCCCAGTGGGCTCCCTGGTCTGGGCTCGGCCCTGGTCTGGGCTGAGGCGCTGGAAGGGCAACATAGCGGCATTCGGAAGCCATTGCCTCGACCAACCGCCTTCTTGCAGCTCTCGGGACCCACTGCCATCCGGGAACAGAGAGCACCCTGGTCACCTTTGCCCACAGCTCCCCATCCCTCCCCCCCCCCCGCCCCCACCTGGCCCCAGCACAGCGGGGGCCCTGGCGTCCTTACTTGGGGGGGCCAGGTGCACCACGTATCCATCCCCCACGTAGATGGCCCAGTGTCGGTAGAAGGGGCGGAAGATCTCAATCAGGTCTCCGGGGTTGGGCTCTGCCTGCGAACCCAAGAACAGGGCTGTTAGAGGCAGGGGGAGCGAGACCTGGGACCCTGGGCAGAGGCGGGGTCCCGGCCCGAGGCTGTCAGATCAGAAGCGTGTCCCGCAGAGGCTCCATAACCCGACTGGGGCCTGACCCTGACGGAGGACTGGTGATGAGCGTACACGTGTGCGTGTGCATATGTGTGTGCATGTGCGTGCGTGCATGTATGCATGTGTGTGCACACGTGCACATGCGTGTGTGTGCGCGCACACGCGCGTTCATGCATATGTGTGTGTGTGTGTGTGTGTGTGTGTGCATGCGCAGGGGAAGGTGGAGAGGGGGCTGAAATCCCGCTTAGAGACCCACCCTGTTCGGGGAGCACGAACAGAGGTTCAAGGTCACTCTCGTTCAGTATTACCGAGGTGCCCGCACAGTGTGCTAAGTGCTGGGGTGGGGACACTGGGACTGGGGCCGGAACCAGGGTGAGAGCCTCTCTGGCCCAAGCCAACTGAAATCTCTCTAAGGAGCCAGGAAGCCATCCCTTTAGGACTCACACGGTGCAGGGCAGGTTGGGGGGTGCCCACATCCCACCCCAAGCTCTTTGTCCCTCAGAGATGCCATCAGAGCGGGGAGGGCAGCACGAGGCAGCCGTGAACAGACTCCTTAGCCAGTCGCATCCCCAATGCCTGAGAGGCAAGGTCCCCGGCAGTCCACGTTCATTTCTAGGAACCTAAAAACTGAACCCACACAAATGCACACATGGTACAGGGTGGGGGGCATTGGTAAATATTTTCACAGGAATTTTACAGATACTTCTCTTGGGCAGACATTATCTTTTACGTTTCCAGATACACACAAGCTTAAAACAGGATCCCACCCCAGAAACCTCACTTTAAAAAGCAGCAAAAGGAGGTGGACGTGCCCACGGGGCCCTGCGCACTGGTTAGAAGCAAGAGCTTGCTGTTCCCATGGCAACCAGGGCCCCCTTTTAGGCACAGCGCTGAGCGGAATGAGAGGAGAGCTGCAACGCGATAGCACCTCCATCAATTAAAGATGCCCCGCAGCCCGGAGCGCACAGCTCAGGAGAGCCTTCCTGAACGAGTAAGTCTCAAACAGCAGCAGCAGCAGCAAGAAAAGGATGGCCCGGCGCCCAGAGCCCACAGGGACACCCCGGTGCAGGCCACTGGGAAGACGGGTGAGGCGACCGAAGGAGCCACCGCCCATCAGCGCGGGCTGCCGTGGGCCAGCCGCAAGGAGCCCGGGCCTGGCTCTCCCTCGGGTGCTGAGAGCCCACGGGGGACAAGGGCGTCGTGACGGTCACGGCCAGGCCAGCGGCACCCAGACCAAGGCCCCAGGAGACCGCTGTCGAGGCTGCCGCTCACGCTCCGTGATCCCGGCCAGCTCCCTGCCTCTGCTCGCTTCTGGGGCAAGCTCAGGGCGGTCTCTACGCTCGTCCAGAGGCTGGAGGGACAGCAGGAGACTACTGTCCAGTGACATGTGACATTCACACATCAAACTGCATGTGCCAGCGTCCACGCCTGCACCTGCACTGTCCCGGGTGCTCCCTACAGGGCAGAGCGGGTCTCTGGGTGGGACCACGGGCCTGTGGGGCCTGACTCCTCACGCTTGGCCCTTTACAGAAGGGTTGGGACGCCTGTCCTAAAGGGGTGGCCCTGCGGCCGGCCTCCCTCGGTGTGGGGACCCGCAGGAGGCAGGGAGAGCTGCCTCCCTCAGGGCAGGGCTGGGGCCCGCGGGCAGCACCGGAACCGGGGCCCCTCACCCAGCCCAGGCCGGGACCGTGGCGAAGCTGAGCCTGCACCCACGGGATTGAGGACAAAAGCCTTTATCCTCCCCACAAACACAGCCACCAAGGGCTGGGCGCAGCCGTTTTCCTGAGCAAGCAGATTAAATAAAACACACCTATGGCCTCCAGTGTTGGCTTTGGGAAAACGGCCTAAACAGCCATTGACAAAAACCAACTGAGTAAGCTAGTCCACATCCATATGCACAGCCGCTAGAGAGAAGCAGGTGGATTTTTCACGAGCAAACATGAGAATAATCGAAAAAAAGTATGCCGAGAAACATAATTATCTTCATTTTTGCTTAAAATACAAGTTTCTACATTTATAAAACAATATGTATTGTATAAAATAAATAAATAAATAAATACAAACTGTTGTGGGGAAAGGGGTGGGACTTTAATATTTTATACTGTATGATTTAATTGGGTTTTTACCAAGATGAATTCCTTCCATAAGGAAAAGTATTTTAAGATGTTTAGATGGGCAAAAACCCCTTATGATGATGAACTTGCATTTTTTTTTAGTGAAAAAGGAGGACATTATCTTGAATCCATCTCCCATCTGGAACTGCAACTCTGACCACGTTACTGCTGCTTAAAAACGAGTAATACTCCCAGCATCGACCTATAAGCCAGGAGGTCACAGGTTCGATTCCCTGTCAGTAAATATGCTAATACACTTCCGTAAGCATGGGGGGAAATACCACAAGCAGACTAGCATGGCCAATTGGGAGAAAATTACAGAAAAACGGTTAATATCTTTAACAGATAAAGAGTTTTTATAAATCCATAAAATAAATTTCAAGCCCTAGCTGGTTTGGCTCAGTGGGTAGTGTCGGCCTGTGCACTGAAGGGTCCCAGGTTTGATTCCAGTCAAGAGCATATGCCTGGGTTGTGGGCTAGATCCCTAGTAGGGGGTATGCAGGAGACACCTGACCCATGATTCTCTCTCATCATTGATGTTTCTGTCTCTCTCTCCCTCTCCCTTCCTCTCTGAAATGAATAAAAACATATGTTTTTAAATGTTAAAAAAGAAAACAATTCCAACACAAAAATAGAAAAAACTCGCCAAAGGGCATGATAAGTAATTTTAAAGGGAGCAATATATCACCATTAATAAAAGGCTCTATATCCTATCTCACTACTAACGAAATAAATACCAATTAATAACTAGCTTGGAGGGAATTGAAACAGGAATACTAAATATAGGAAAAGGCGCAGGCAAACCCACTCTCATTCACTGCTGCTGGGACTATAAATCAAAGTACAACTTTTTTGAAAAGCAATGTGGCAATTTGCCTCACCAGCCTTAACCATATCAGTGGGATGTAAGGCAAAGAGGAGCTGCAATTCTGACCTGGGCCAGCCTCGGCCGTGGGCACTGGGCAGGCCTGAGAGGGAAGCAAGGGCACTTTTAGAGGGATTTTCAGTCCAAGAGCTGAAACACAGCCAACAGGATGCTTTTCACTGGAGGCCACGAGGAATGTTCCAGTCCACCCGCCCTCGGCCCCAGTTAGCCCCTCCGCCCGGCGCCTGCCACTTGGGTTTTGTATAAGGTAACCAGATTTTTAACAACTTGTCCCGCAGTGTTTTTTAAAAGTCCTGATTTTTGGAAAAGATTCTTTCCAATTCTTTCCAAAAATCGGGAGTTTTTTAAAATGCCGAGGGACGCGGGACAAATGGTTAAAAATCGGGACTGTCCCACCAAAAGCGGGACGTCCGGGCGCCTTAGTTTGGTAGGGAAATATTCCAGGCGCAGAAAAAGCGCAGAGCGGGCTGTTTCAGTCCAGGTGGAAGTAGTCTTCAGAGACAGGACCCTGGCCGTGTAGACATGGGCGTTTCTCTAATTATCTTCAGCTGAGCCACAGGCAGAGCCACGTCCTGGGAACAGGCTTCGCCCTGGGAACAGGATTCGCCAAAAAGGTGGAGTGTTGACAGCACTGACTTTTACCTTTGCCCACTGTCTTTGACATGTAAATCCAGTCAATCATCAGGAATGCTCGGGCCTACTCAAGAATGCAAATAAGCTCCTTTGACCCTAAGTTTTGGTTATACTTCCTGGCATTTGGGGGATATAAATAAACACTCTGCGTGAGCTCAGGGTCCCTGTCCCCCCATCAGAGAGGATGGCATCCCACCTGGCTCCCAGCTTTGCTTCTATCTTTCTATCTGTTCTCTTTCTTTTATTTCTTTTTTTTTTTTTTTTTTTTCTCAGAGAGGAAGAGAGAGGGATAGAGAGTTAGAATCATCAACCAGCCACCCCTTGCACACCCCCCACTGGGGATGTGCCCGCAACCAAGGTACATGCCCTTGACCAGAACCGAACCAGGGACCCTTCAGTCCGCAGGCCGATGCTCTATCCACTGAGCCAAACCAGTGCCGGCTCTTTCTTTTATTCCTTAATCCCCAGCCACCTCCACTCAGGAACCAGGCCTGCTCCTTTGCTGACGGGGAAAAGAGAGAAACACCCCACAGGCCACAGCCCGGGGCTCAGAGCCAGGCAGTCTGGGTTCAAATCCCGGCTCTGCTCCTCACTAACTGGATAGCCTGGGCAAGCGACTCCGCTTCCTCCGCTGTAAAATGGGAGTCACTGCAGCACCTGATTCGTGGAGGTCTCCCGAGGATCGAATAAGTTCAGACCTGTGACACACTCAGCAAGTACCGCCCGCTGTGTAGGGCGCCTTCTAGAGGTGGCAGGGGGGTTTTGTTTGTTTGATTTTGAGAGAGAAAGAGACACGGATTTGTTGATTCGCTCATTTATGCACTCGTTGGTTGATTCTCGTATGTGTCCTGCCTGGAGATCGAACCCAGAACCGTGGCGTGTCCGGAGGATGCTCTAAGCCATGGAGCTGCCCAGCCAGGCCATGGATGGCGGGTTTTTTGATTGGGAAAGGTCGAGGGCAGTTCCGGGACTAGAACGCTCTGCGTTTTTTTCTATGCCTGGAATATTTCATCACGAAATCCAAATGGCAGGCGCGGGGCGGAGGGACTAACTGGGGCCGAGGGCAGGTGGACTGGAACATTCCTCGTGGCCTCCAGTGAAAAGCATCCTCTTTGTTGTGTTTCAGCTCTTGGAGACAGGCTGGATGTTGTGAAACCCAATCTGGGAGCAAAGTCCTCCCCCTGTGAGTGTGGAAACCCCAGCCCCACCCCCTGCATTTCTCACACTCGGGGCAAACGTCTGGAAGCGGGGAGTTTTCAAAACACAAGGGAAGCAGTCCCAGCTGGGTGCTGAGAAGGGACTGGCCAGGAGGGAGGGGAGTTTCCGTGGCTGTGTTCTAGGAAGAGAGGGAAGCCCTGAGGACTTGGTTGTCCGTCCCGGCCAGCTGAGGCTGCTTTCACAGCCCCTCTCTGCAATATTGCTGTGTGACCCCTACGAGTCACTTCACGTCTCTGAGCTTCCCTGGCAGAACGGGGCTATTAAGATCCAACAGGCAGGGCCTGCGTGTAAAATAAATGAGATAGCAGGGGAAAGGTGTAGAACTACTCATGCCCAGGAGAGGGCTGAGACCTGTGCCCCAGGCGGGGTGGGTGCCGGGAGCGTGAGGCGGAGGCCTGACTGCCCAGCTTCCCCGGCCTCAGGCCCAGAGAAGAGATGGAGGAGGGGTTGGGCGGACACATTACCTCTGCCCTGGCCAGCTGCTGGGCAAGGGACAGTGTCGGTTCCAGCAGGCACCAGGCCCAGCCCCAGCAGCCCAGAGGTCATGGCTATTCTGAGAGAAACTCATCCACCCCCCCAGGCTCTGGCCCTCCAGGCCCCAGGCCTGTTCTGTGTGTCCAACCCCACCCCCACGTGAATGGGGCTGCCCCGACTCATCTGGGAACCACCTCCATCCCCAGCGCCGCTGGGGCTTTCACACCGATCTGGGTCCGTACATCCTTACAGCGGTCCGTTCTCCAGGAAACGGCTCAGAGATGGGAAGTAACTTGCCCCAGGCTTCAGAGCTCCCCGAGAAGTAGTGCCAGGCCCAAGGCCAAGATCTTCCCCGCCATGCCACGCAATTCACACCACGGTCCCGTAATCCGATGCCAGCCCCGTGGCACACGTTGCCCCTGCATCTCTGTACTCTCGGCCTGACATCCTCTGGGCTGTTCCCTGGCAAACTCCCCCTCACCCCTCAAGGCAGGCTCAACGTCTGCAGCCTCGCTGCCTCCCGAAGCCCCAGCAGAGTCGCTGCCGCCAGAGCCCCAGCCCGCCATCCAGTGACCCTGACTGTGGGCTGACCCATGGGAAGGAATGACCACTCTCCATGCCCAGCGAGGCAGAGCGGCCAGCCTGGCACACAGGTTCCCAGCAGAGGCTTGTAGTTCTCCCAGCAGGGACCCCTGGGGGAGCGGAGGCGTTGTGAGAACCCTGCAGGCCCGGAAGCCTCACGCTGAGGAGGGTCCTCTTCTCCATGCCCCTCTCTGCCCCTCAGGTAGCTCCGCAGAGACCTGCTAGATCAGGCAAACGGGGGTCAGAGAGAAGCGAACCCAGAAGGTCAGAGACCAGAGCAGGCCCGGCCATTGCCTCATGTTCTGGACTCAGTTTTACTTGGATATTCACGTCCCCAGCTGCAGCTGCTCAACAAGACCCAGATTGAGGACAGAGGATGGAGGAGGGGGAGTAGGGGGGTGGAAGAGGGGGAGCAGGAGGGTAGAGGAGGGGGAGGAGGGGGTGGAGGAGGGGGAGCAAGGGGTGGAGGAGGGGGAGGAGGGGGTGCAGGAGGGGGATCAGAGGGTGGAGGGCGGAGGACAGAGGCTCCTGGCCCACTTACTCTGAGCACATTTGGAACACAGACAGGAGAGACACAGACTCGCCAGCACTGGCACGGACTGGGAGGCGTTCCGGGCTGGACAGAGGGCTTGGGAGGCCGGGGCCCGGCGGTAGACAAACAGCCTTGCCATCCCAGCGCAGTCTGGGGAGCGGCTGCCAGCAGCTAACCTGTCAGGCCCTCAGATCCGGGCAGTGACACAGCCAGAGTCCCTGGGCGCAAAGAGGAGCGAGTTGCCCGTGGAGGATTTACAACAATAATAAAGCACACCCAGAGTCAGTTTCCTGTTTATCACCTCCACGTGCTGACAATTTTAGACCATCAGCGATAAACTGCAACTCTCCCCAAAGCAGTGGTGTGGCTCTAAGTTTTTATTCCTGCAGATTCAAGTTGTATTTCTGAGATTTGATAATACATATGTGAGCCTCAAGCAAGCCTGATTTTGTTTCTTATTCTTTAAAAACCTTTGTCCTGGATGTGGAGGTTTAATCAGAGCACCCGGTTAGACAGCCCCCAGCACACGCTCGGTCTCACGTGTCTGTCCCAGACGTAATTTCCCAAACAGCTCAGCAAGGTCCGAGCTCACTTTTGACAGGATTTGTGTCCCCGACATTCTCCCGTGCCTGCCCAGTGCCCCGAGAAACCCGGACAGAGTGTGTGAAAGCCTGCGTCATTCCCACCAAGAACTAGACTCGAGTTTGAAAGCAAGGGTTCAAGTGTCTCCATCATTCAACCATCTCCTCGGATTTTTGCAGGAAAAAAAAAAAAAAAAAAAAAAAAAAAAAAAAAAAAGACATGGGAGAATCTTGCCAAATAAAATAAAACTTAGGCAACACCCTTAAGTGGTCCAGTGGATAAGGCCATGGGGCCCTGTGAATGAGGATGGGGGTCCCCAGTGGCCGCAAAAGCCCCATCTTCCCATGGTCCAGACTGGATGCCAGCAAGAAGGTCTCTTGTCCTCAAGGAAGGGCTTTCCGCGTGAATGGGGCAGAAAGCCGGCCCTCAAGGCCCAGCGACCAGTAAGTACCCTGTTTCCCCGAAAATAAGACATCCTCCAAAAATAAGACCTACTTACAGGTTTCCTTCTGAGTGAAATATAAGGCATCCCCCGAAAATAAGGCCCCCCTAGGCTAACCATGAGAGTTTTGGTCCACTGATTCTGAAAGAAATGGAGTCACAAGAAATTCACCAGGAAATTCAGGAATTGGATTGTTATGATGATGTTCCAGATGTTGACATGATTGTCATTGAATAAATGAATAAATTCTTTAAAAAATAAAATAAAAACTTAGGATGATTTTTCTGGTGAAGATGTTTTAGTAAAAACGTTTCAAACATGGAGGTATTGAAGAGCCACCAGAATTGAATTTTCAGAAGATGTAGTCAGTATTGCAATTTCTGGAGTGTTTTATGAAATGGGGTTTTTAGTGAATCTCTGACCAACTTGTCCTAATGTTTATGGCCTTTTCTATTTGAATATCTGTTGTTTCATATGAGAGGAGCTTTTGAAATTAAAATTAAAAGTGTTCTTCAATCCACTGTGAGCAATGATGAACTGGCAAATCTAGCTCTCCTGAATTCTGAACATTAATAAGCAAAGAATCATTTTTAAAAATTTCTTCAAGAAGAGCAACGCTGACAAAGTCATGGACAACTTTTCAGAAGTTAAAGTTCCAAAATAGAAACTGTAATGTCAGTGCCTTCCTGTGACCAACCTGTATGTAAGAATAACTTTTTTTCAAAAATGCCCTCAAGCAATTAGAACCTATTAATTAATCCATTACTTTTTCCTATTTTTTTCTCTCTATAACATTTACTTTTCACTTTTTTATTTTTTCACTGGCATGAGTTCATATACAAAGCTCAATAAAAGAAGTTTTACTGTTCCTTCTTATCATTCACTATTATTGCTGAAAACAATGTCAGATGCAGGAGAGGGATATTTACAAATGACCACTCCAGGCATCAAGTATGCCAGGTGCCCCCGATGCCAGCCAGGCACTTGTGCGCTGTTTAATAATAATAAATCATGATCGCAATAGAGAGTTGCGGTTGAGCACTTCACGTGTGTGCAAAGCTCTGTACCGAGCACTTCCTCCCTCTTAAGCCCTAAGATCTTCTGAAACTTGACCCCAGTTCCCGGCAGGTGCCTGGGAGCAGATGGGGGGGGGGAGAGGTCTGCCCCCCAGGCTGCCCGGGCCCCCCCTCTGCAGCCGGAAGCGCCAGGTGGGAAGGAAGCACTTGCTGAGCCCCTTTCTGACCCTGAGCCGCGTCACGGGTTAGAGAAGTGCAAGCCGGGCAGCCGCTGGCCTGGCGGCCACGGTCACGAGGCAGATCAGCTGAGCCCGGAAAAGGCCATCAGACCGGCGGCCCGGGGCCGCGTCCAGCCGGGAGCCGGGAGCCGGGAGCCGGGAGCCGGGAGCCGGGAGCCGGGAGCCGGGAGCCGGGAGCCGCGCGGGGTCCGGTGCGGCTGCCGCCCTCTCCCTGCGGCCCCGCCTCCCGGGGGCAGATTCACACACCGAGACCCCGGCGGCGCCCCCCGACCCGCCCCGGTGCCCGCACCCGCCCCGGTGCCCGCACCCGCCCCGGTGCCCGCACCCGCCCCGGTGCCCGCACCCGCCCCGGTGCCCGCACCCGCCCCGGACGCCCGGTGAAACGGCCCCGCCGCCCCGCCCTGCCCCCCCCACTCACGATGGGCGCCCGCATCCTCTCTCCGCGGCCCTGGGTGCGGGCTGGGTCTGCGTTGTCCGCGGTGGAAGCCTGGGGCGGGGACAGGGGGTCACGGTGTCAGCGGCGGCAGCGGCGCCCCGCGACCCCGGGGACGGCGCTCCGGCGAGGAGACCGCGCAGTGGTCCCTGACCCTCCGGACAGCCGCTCCCCCAGGGGAGCCCCGCCCGCCTCCTCCCGGCCGGCGGGAGGCGACCCCGATGGGCGGAGGGTTCACCTGGGGGGCGGGGCGCGGCGGCGGGAGCCCCCAGGCCGCCGCCCCCACGGTCACCGCGCCGCCGGCCCCGCCGCACCGGCTTCTCCCGCCCCCACGGGACCGGAGAGCCCCGGCGCCTCACCTTCCTTGGGTCCGGGAGGAGCGCCCACCACCTCTCGGACGGACGGACGGACGGACGTGGGAGGCTGCGAGGCCGGGGCCGCGGCGCGCGGCGGGTTTTAAGCCCTCGGTCCCGCCCAGCGTGAGCTCAGCCGCCCGGCCCCTGCCCTGTCCCCGCCCCGGCTAATGGGCGCCGCGCTGGGCTCGGGCCCGGGCCCGGGACCGCCCGCCCGGCCTCCGGGACTGGCCGCTCTGGGCGCCTCCGGGCACCGGCCGCCCCGCCCGCTGGCTCCTCCGCCCGGAGGCGCCCACTGAGCCGCCTCCTCGCCTGTCCGCGCCCGCTCTGCGCTCTGCGGGACCCGCTCTGCGCTCTGCGGGAGCCCGGCGGTCAGGACAGAGTTGTTGTACATTCGATCCCCGTACACACATCACATGGATCTGAGCAACTTATCTCCTCCGCTAGAGCGGCTTATAGTTTAAACCTTTATTGAATTTTAAAGCATCGATCAGCCCGATCAGCCCGGCAAACCTCAGAGGGAAGGTAGGGGAGGGTGGGGGTAAGGGAGAGAGATCAACCAAAGGACTGGTGTGCATATAAGCCTAACCAACGGACACAGACACCAGGGAGGTGAGGGCATGAGTGGGGGGGGTGGGGGGGGTATAATAGGGGAATAAGGACACATATGTAATACCTTAAACAATAAATTTTTTAAAAAGGTATTAGAAGACAAGGGTCTAGCAGAGAGAACATACTTTTAACTATTGGGTCTTAAGTCACCAGATACCCTCAAACATGGCACACAGTAGCATCCCATAAATGAATGAACAAATGAATGAATTGAAGGACCAAACAGAAGTCCTTTCTCACAATGGGCTGACTCCACACGAATAGAACCAGCTCCTGTCCCTCTCCATGTGACCACCTCACCCCCTTCCCAGCCTGGGAACCAGGATGCCTGGGCCAAACCCCGGCCCTGCCACTTGCCAGCTATAGGACCCAGCACCCTTCCCTCTGAGCCTCAGCTGTTCACCTGTAACACGGAGCGATGATCCTGTACAACGTGTAAGATAATACACAAACCTGCATCCCCCAGAGCGAGGGCAACCGATGGAATGACGCTTATAAAGTGCCGGGCATGTGGCAAGTCATGTTATTAACATGAGATGAGGCATATGCTCATCAGCTTTACACGTTATTCACCAGCTTCCGGGCAAGGAGAGTCACAGGCTAGTAAACACCAGAGCTTTCTGTGGGTTACCACTCAGCCAACCAAGTGCTGTGCATGGAGGAAGGGAGCGGCTGTGATGCAGTCCAGACCAGTTTGCAGAGGTTCGGTTGGAAGGAAACCAGACTGCTTTCTGCCTCTCCTTACTCTCTGCCTCCAGAACTGCTCAAACGTCACATCCTTCCACCACCACCCCACCCCCAGCCCTGCTTTCTTTTCTTTTTCCTGTCCCTTTCCTGTGCCAAGAAAAACAAAAACGAAAAACATCGGAGGGGCAGGGGCGCCAGGGTTCTAGATGGTTCCTTTCCAAGCAGCTCTCCAAAGAAAAGCTCTGTAGGGAAGGCCCAGGCGATGCTGGCACTGCCAGCGGGACCATCCTCCACCTCACCCCGCATGGTGGGCACCGAACAGGTGGCCGGCCACGCCAGTTCCCAGCTGGCACCTGCCTCCGGGCTTCTCAGCACCAGAGCTATGGGCCCTGCGGAGAGGCACCTGCTACTTCTGAGTTATTCGCTCTCTTCCCCCTTGTCTGCCTCCTGAGAAGGAGGGAGGCCCCTGCAAGATGGTTTTGCTGAGTCTCCGAGGAAGGACGCGCTGAGAAGTGGTAGGAAATGGCACAAGGCTGAATACCGTGTGGGGATTTTATTTTTTTCACTTGTGAGCATTTAATGAACTTCCATGTGGCTTCAAGCTACCAGCATGCTGCCTCCCCCCCACTCCCAACACCCTGTCTTCTCAGTCTTCTGCGGACGAACTTGGCCTTCATCACCTACAGGAGCAGCTACCGTCTCGTCTCTGGCGGCATTTACCTGTCTGCTCACTGCCCGGGGTGCACAGGTGGCCAGGGGGAGAAGTCTGGGTCCCTTTAAGTGGACATGCCTTGCTCCAACTTCCCCAAAGGAGCCTGGGCATGTTGGTCAAAGCTGGTTGTGGGATGATGCAAGTCACCAGCATCACCTCGGCCCCCGGGTGCTTGCCAACGGCAAGCCAGGACCGTGGCTCTCGTGGCCCCGAAGTTTCCGGGTCTTCCTCTGTCTGGCTGGCATGCCCATGGCCGAGATGCCCCGTGTGGGGATTCTGAGCAGGCAGGTGGGCGTGGAAGCGAGGCCAGGGCTGAGGAAAGGGGGTGGGGTGAGGGGCAGGCAACAGCACTCACGGGAAGCTGTTTGCGATGCTTCTTGACACAAAACGAACAGGAGCAGGGGATCGTTTGGTGATACCGTGAGGGTCTGTTGCTAACAGCAGCCCTCACAGCGGGAGCTCCTTGGGAATGTGCTCCATCAGCCGCCTGTGGGCTCTGGACACCCACACAGGCCACTCTGCACGGCCAGAGAATGCACGATTCTGACAGTTTGCTCGGAACAGAAAAATCGAGTTTTTCTGAACAAAAAAGATGAAATATAACTTCCTCCCCAAGTCCTACTGAAGCGAGAATCCCTGAGACCCTGAAGAGCTTCCCTCATTGTGTGCAGCCTACCCAGCACTACTGGCCCTTAAAGGAACGCCCCGGAATGCCCAGGCTCTCATTCCCGCGGTAAACGGCCAGTCTGGGGAACTGGGGGCTGTCGTGGACACTCGTTTTTGTCTGTCCAGCAGCCTCTCATTCGGTGACAATGGGTTCTGGTGAGGCTGCCTCTCACAGTACCCATCACCCCGACTAGAGAACATGTGACCTCAGTTTGGCTGGCTATTGTGCCTCAGCCCCAGAGTAGGGATTGGCTCTGGAAGAAGCATATGCCCCGAGCCAGACCTATCAGCAGCTTTCTGTAGGATGGAGCTATATACACACACGCATCTGTAAATAGGCAGTGGATCAAAAAATAGTCTCTTTCCTCCAGGGATATAAAAGGGGGATGATGTAAGCGGGAACCATTCTGCCTGCCCTCCCCAGCAGCCGAAGGAAAGCCTTCTGCGAGGGCAGATAATCCGGCCACTGCAGAGAAATAGCCTCTGGGCATGTGAATTCTTCCAGGGCCTCATGTCAGCTTTCCTCCTTAGACAGCCCGCTTTCCCAGTGACCATGCCTTTTTTATGTTTATTAGGGTTTTCTTATTATTTTACTATTTAAAAACATTTTAATTACAGTTGACATACAGAATTGTATTATTTTCAGGTGTACAAGTGATTAGACATTTTATATGAGTTACGAAGTGATCTTGTTAAATCTATCGAACCCTGATATAGTACTCGTGACACCAGACATAGTTATTACAGTATTACTCACTATATTCCCTGTGCTGAACTTTACACCCCAGTCTACCATTCCATTGTTAAGAATCTAATGAAGTTGTACATTGGTTGTGGGCACATCCCCGGTAGGGGGTGTGCAAGAGGCAGCTGGTCGATGTTTCTCTCTCATCAACGTTTCTAGCTCTCTCTCTCCCTTCCTCTTTGTAAAAAATGTCAAAAAAAAAAAAATCTAATAAAGTTGATCTTTGCAAACTGATATTTGCTAATTAAAGGCAAGAATGTGCCCAAAGCAAGCCAGTTGGCTGGCCTCCTCCCCACCCACACATGGCCCCTTCCCCCACTCGGCCCTTCCTTCTCCCAGCTCATAGGGAGGCAAGCACCACACTCTGATGGGAACGCCCAAGTTTCCACCATCTTCTTCAAATTGTACCGACTTGTGGGTTTGCCCCTTCCCTACTAACTGTGATGAGCTCAGGGTAGCACCTGACATATGACCATCACTAGGGGTGGGCGGATGGATGGATGGATGGATGGATGGATGGATGGATAAAGGCTACTGACCCAACCCAGTGTTTCCATCTAGGGAAACCTTTTTACTGCAGGGCTAAGAGCATATCTACTTAGTCAAGATATGAGAGGGCCGATGCAGGCTCTCCACTGCTTCTAAGATGAAAGGGAAGCTTTCAGTAGGACTTGACCTCACCCCTCCCCACAGAGGAACCATTTAATTTAACCAGATGGGTCCAGATGGGACAAGCACATGAAAGTGCCTCAAATTCAAGGGCCGCCATCAGTCCATGTTACTATAAATAAAACTGGCATTGTGTTATAGGCACCACCACCACCAGCACAGCCTTCTGCAGCACGATGCCAGAAAGACACTGTTTTGTAGGACAGAGAAAGCTGACTCACTCAAACCACATTATCACTACATTTGACACCAAGTTACTCATTCTCTTAGATACCCTATCCACTCTGTCAAGCCCAAACCTGTTTCGCAGATCTTCCCACATTAAAGAGAAAAAACACAGAGACAGCATGAGGCTGTGATCTTTATTCCATTAAATGACCTTACAGAAACAGAGACATGCTTTTAATATACTAATAGCATCTTCTCATCCTATTGCACTTTTTAAAAATATTATAAATTTTAAAGCCATTTTTAAAGGGTATAAGATTTCAACAAATCATTTAAAAGAAATATGAGAAGGAAAACTGTGTATGTTCAAGATTAGCTCCTTTAAGGC